CTCATCTCTCTCTCTCTCTCTCTCTCTCTCTCTCTTCTCTCATCTCTCTCTCTCTTCTCTCTCTCTCCTCTCCCCTCTCTCTCTCTCTTCTCTCATCTCTCTCTCTCTCTCTCTTCTCTCTCTCTCTCATCTCTCTCATCTCTTCTCTCTCTCTCTCTTCTCTCTCTCTCTCTTCTCTCATCTCTCTTCTCTCTCTCTCCTCTCCCCTCTCTCTCTCTCTTCTCTCATCTCTCTCTCTCTCTTCTCTCATCTCTCTCTCTCTTCTCTCATCTCTCTCTCTCTCTTCTCTCATCTCTCTCTCTCATCTCTCTCTCTCTTCTCTCTCTCTCCTCTCCCCTCTCTCTCACTCTCTCTCTTCTCTCTTCTCTCTCTCTCGCTCTCTCTCTCTCTCATTATACAAAAGATAATACTGAAAGTAGATTAAAAAGGTGTGAAGTCCTGTATTAAATTTCCTGTTAAATAGATAATCAGGGGGAGGTTTCGGTTGAACTTCCACTTTAACCTCGGGTGACATCGTAGACAAGTGTTTCCGTCGAAACATACCGAACAGAGCCTATCGTAATTAAGAAAGCGAATAGAGGCGGAGGGGAAATCAATAGACAGCAAATGTCCATTATTACTACTAGAGTGTATCGATTGGTGTACCATGTAGACCAGCATGTTTTTATTATTAACGATATATATATATCGTGGTTTCCCCTTGTCAGTGATGCAGGGCGGAGGGCCTGATAAGGACAGCTGACTAGTCATTCGGATGAGACGACAAACTGAGGACCCGTGTACACATTGGCGTGCACGTAAAAGATCCCTTGGCAGCTGGAATTCGATATAAGAGTAGGCCGTAGTGCCGCTGTTCGGGCAAAATTTCCCTCATAGCACACTATATGGCGTATGCCCGTATACAGAAGTAGTTTTACAACTTAACCGCAACCACTGTGCCTGACGTTGCTATAGAAACCCACGAATTTAGTCAGGTATAAACCTCTAACCCATACGAATATAAGACACTTTCTAACATTTTGGTGTCAACTATACTAATGTCCAAAAGAAAGTATACACACTAAAAATATGACTAAGTTTTGTTTGAATCAACAACATGTGATAAAGTTACACTGAACATGTCTCGTGCGTCCAAACTCAATATTTCTCAGCAAATAAATAGCAAAACAAATTGAAATCGTACCCAAATACCACATACAAACGGAAAAAACGACTTTAATTGAAGCAGGACGAAATGCACAGTGTATACTTTCTTTTGGACATTAGTATATGTTCAGGATACGTATCGGGGCCACGGTGGGTCAGTGTGCAAGGGCTTGGCTCCTAAACCAGGGGTCCCAAGTTCGTTCCCGGCGTTCGCCGATAAAATAAACAGGAACTATTCCAAGTAGTTTTCCATTGTCGATGGTGCCAGATGGAGGGCCTGTCGGTGTCGGGCGGAGGGCCTGTCAACCAGGCCCTTAGCCAGCTTGCTAGCTTCGGAGGGGCAGTGAAGTTTTTAGGGGGGGGGGGCACAGTCTACAGTAGTATTTTAGAGCTATGATCGGCAATTTTTTTTTCGGGGGGGGGGGCAAACATTTTTTTGGGGGCCCCCCCTCTGGCTACGAGCCTGCTGTCAACTAACAACGTCTAGTCCTTCGGGTAGGAATAAAACACTTTTTCATTCATGTAAAAGAACACGTGAAATTCGCGGAATTGTAGTTGAGAACGCCACTGCCCGGACTAAATTTCCTCTCAGGACACTGTATGCCGTATTCCTAGTCCTTCGGTTGGGAATTAAACAGGTTGGCATTCAGGTAAAAGAACCGTAATTGGCAGATTAAATTCCACGGAGAGTAAGCGAAAGCGTCGCTGCCCTGGTGAAAATCTCCCTCAGTACCCGGCATTCTTTATTCCCGGTTGGTACAGATAGTAGTGTGTTAATCCCCATTTCGTTTCATTCCACGTGATTGTTGTCCACATGCTACCTTATTATGAATTAAAGATACATTATGATGGGAGATTAAAGAGCTAGTAATAATCTATATATACTATTCAAAAAAAGTAGGGGATATTTGATTTTTAAGTGTTATTAAAGTCACCTAATGAAACTGACGAAGAAACAAATGACAAAATGAAATGAAGTTCACATTCATCGATTTATTCCAAATGATCGTTAGACTAAGTAAGGCACAGACTGACCATTATAAGGGTAAAATGATACCCGGGGTCAAACAGCAAAGTTACCACAGCATCACAACCAAGTCAGTAACGGGTAAATCCTCCTCTGTTTGCCAAACAAGCATTGATCCGACGTGGCATACTCCTAATGAGACGTCTAAGGTCATTTTGGTCCAGATTGTCCCATTCCTGTTGCAACGCAGCAGCAAGTTCTTGGACATTGGCAGGACGTTGTTGACGTTGACGTAACCTCTGTCCAAGCATGTCCCAGACATGCTCGATGGGGGAGAGGTCGGGACTCAGTGCTGGCCAAGGTAATGTGGTGATGTTCTGTTGTTGGAGGTAACCTGTAACGATCCTGGCCCTGTGACATCTTGCGGTGATGTTCTGTTGTTGGAGGTAACCTGTAACGATCCTGGCCATGTGACATCTTGCGTTGTCATCCTGGAAGATGAAACGGCGGCCATGACGTCGTGCGAACGGCACAACATGGACTGCCAAGATGTTGTCCCGGTAGTACTGGCCTGTAACATGCCCTGCAACAACATGTCAAGCCGTTCTTCCAGCAACAGTGATGCCTCCCCACACCATAACAGAACCACCCCCAAATCGATCATGTCTGATGACGTTAACGTCTTGGAAGCGCTCGTTTCGACGACGCCACACCCTCCTACGTCTGTCCAAAAAATCAACAGTGAACCTTGACTCATCTGAAAACATCACATTGCTCCAGCGTCGATTATCCCAGTGTTGACGATCCCTACACCAACGACGTCTTGCCTGAATGTGATGATCTCTCAAACAAGGGATCACGCGAGGACGTCGGGCGATTCCGAATCGTCTGGCCACTCACTCTCACACCAGTGTCTGTTTGAAGACGAGCGCTGATCTGATTTGCTGTGATGACACGATTTGTCAAGGCCAAGGTACGGATAAATCGATCCTGGGGTTGAGATGTCGCCCTTGGTCGACCTGAGCGTGGTGTGTCCTGTACAGATTGTGTATCACGGTATCTGAACCATAGCCTGCTTATGACAGACTGAGAAACATTCATCGTCCGCGCCACAACCGCCTGTGTTGTGCCGATCTGTAGCATGCCAAGGGCACGTAACCTTTCATTTTGGGTAAGCCGACGCATATCAAAATTTGTTTTCTGGTCACTAAAACAATTAAACTGATGTTTCCACCCTGGAATTCAATGCCACAATGACTGTAACATTCAAAGTCAGAGTCGTGCAAATCTTGGGTTGGACCCCCATGATGATCCCAAGCATCACCTGCATTCCATGCGGTAGCTATTGGTGCGTTTGGGCGTCACATGTAACTGGAAATGTTTCTTCTGTTAGGTTCTATAGTGACTTTTTTCGTAGTCATTTGCATATTTTAGTATTATGCCCCCAAAATCAAATACCCGACCGGGGAGTAACATAGACCAGGTGGCGTTAGTCTACCACTTCCGGTTTCGGAGTTATGACCCCCGAGCGAAGTCTGTTCGGGGTTGGCGGCTACATCTGCCCCGAGTCTGAAATTTGAGGTATAGGGGTAGCTAGGACCGGGGAGTAACATAGGCCAGGTGGCGTTAGTCTACCACTTCCGGTTTCGGAGTTATGACCCCCGAGCGAAGCCGGGTATCCTGCTAGTTCTCAATATATAATAGCTAAAAACTAGATATTGTATAGGGAATATGCTGAAAATTTCATTGTTACCGCTGTTACGATATTTAACAAAGTCGCGCGATTATCCATTCTGGCGGTTCATCATCATCAACGGACGTTGAACAGCAGATCGGATTCAAATCCAATGAAAATCGGACACATAAGATATGTAGCACAAAGAGTTGATTATGGTCTTTTCATGTTAATAAATGTCTAATTAATAGTTTATATAACATTTAAGGGATCAAAAAGGCCTACAATAGTCAGATCTAGCTTTTGCATAATGTACGTATCTTTAAATATAATATCTTCTCCAACCATGTTACAGGCGGAAACGCCACTACCTGGTCATTTCATTTCACCAGATTTTCCAGCGTGGTTCCCCTTGTCAGTGATGCAGGACGGAGGGCCTTACAAGGACAGCTGTCTAGTCGTTCGGATGGGACGAAAAACCGAGGTCTCGTGTACACATTGGCGTGCACGTACAAGATCCCTTGCAATTGGAATTCCATATAAGGGCAAATTTCCCTCATAGCAAACTGTATGGCGTATGCTCGTCTTCATTATCCCAGATCGGGGCAGAACAGTAGGACGTTAAACCCCATTTTATTTCATTTCATTTCAGATTTAAAACGATTTAATGTTTCACAAAAGAAATGATATGAAATAAAATGAAATGGGGCTTAACGTCCTACTGTTCTGCTCCGACCGGGCTAATCAAGACGGGCTTACACCGTGCTATGAGGGATATCTTGTCCGGGCAGCGGCGCTGCGGCTTACTTTTACACCGTATTCCAACTGCCACAGGTTCTTTTACGTGCACGTCAATGTGTACATGGGACCACGATCGCTTTTCTCGTCCCATCCAATATGTACACGGGATCTCGGTTTTTTCGTCCCATTCGAACGACTATACCTTGTCCCTTACACAACTAACAAGTGAGCTTCACAAAAGAGTCCATGAAGTGACCTCTATGATATAGTTCCAACTAATCTAGAAAATACTCGGCACTTGGTTTATAATACCGTCTGCATATGAAATATGTTGCTCGTGAGTCGTGACCGTTAGTCCACCACTCGACGCTACACACAGTTCACTGATATATCTGGTTCCTGCCTATTTTTAGTAGACACCGCGCGTGAAAGCAGTATCATTAGTTATTCAGCTAAATGTTCAAGACTATAGACTGTAGAGTGTTAGTGAGTAACGTATTGAGGGGGAATACAGGGCTACATGTAATTAGTGTAATAGCGTGCACTTTTAACACAGCAGGTCATAAACACACAGATTTACAGTGACGCTAAGGGGGAAGAATACGTTCTACATGATAAACCGTTACCAGATTTAATGTGGAATTAGTCCATCTGGATATAAGGAGCCAAAACTTTCAGGAATAATAATTATGTCAGAGAGTGAGTATACATTTTGAAATTCTTTCTATGTTGCCGTCTGCTCTTGTCGTTACTTGATTCTGTTACCATGGATATCGGGTTTTAAAGTTTATGGTATACAGTTATAGGTTGCAAGCTTGCATCAATCAAATAAATTAAATATATTTACTCGTGCACCCATGCTAACGGACTTAGTAATATATTGTATGCATCTGATTTAGACGGCTGACTTTAATATACGTGAGGTGAAGACCGAGGCATCCTAGCGAGTATGTTGATAAGTGGATCTAGTCGACTAGAGGCCTGGTGTGCTTGAGTGTGTAGTGTTGATGTGAATTCCGTGGTGCCTGGCAATCTGGCAATGACTATATGTCCAGTCGTTGGGATGATATTAAAAACGGAGACCCCTGGTAGACATTATAGCGTGACAGTTGGGATTCGACCACAGAGCTGCTGCCCGGGCAAGCTTTTCCTCATTAGCCCAGTCGATGAAGAACTGTAGGACGTAAAACTACATTTTATTTCATTTCTATGGCCAATTTTCCACTTGTCCCCCTGACACAAACTTCGTCATTCCATGTCTAAAATATCGCCCACTATGCTTTCTTTGGCAGTGTGAGGAAAGCTGAGGTTCCAGGGAAAACCCGCCACAAGATTGGACAGGCGGTTGTACTTAGTGTTTAATATCCACTTCTACCGAAGGTGATATCGCAGACAAGTCTTATTTTTCTTTTTTATTATCACCAGAGGTCTTTCCCGTGGGAAGAAACCGGAGTACCCGGAGTAAACCCACGAAGTTGAGATGGCGCCCCTATCTCCAAGCCACATACGCCCACACCTGGGATCGAAACCACAGCCGCGAATCAGGTGACCGGCCAGCTAGAGGTCGAAGGGCGACACTCTAGGCCATTTACGACCCCAATTCTTGTCATATACACCCGGGGAATAGCAACTACACCATGTGACTCATTGACTTGACCTTATGGAAATGAAATGAAATGGGGTTTAACGTCCTACTGTTCTGCTCCTATACTGGGCTAATGAAGACGGGCATACGCCATACAGTGAACTATGAGGAAAATTTTGCCCGGACAGCGGCACTACTCTTATATCGAATTCCAACTGTCAAGGGATCTTTTAGGTGCGCGCCAATGTGTACACGGGACTACCGTTTTTTCTTCCCATCCGAACGACTAGACAGTTTTCCTTGTCAGGCCCTCCGTCCTGTACCACTGACAACGGGAAACCACGCTGGAAACTCCCGATAAACTTTCTTGGCCAATGGAGGGATCGAACACGCGACCTCTGAAACAGATTGAGAGAGAGAGAGAGAGAGAGAGAGAGAAATGGGGTTTAACGTCCACTCGACACAAACTAGGTCATTTCGGGACCAACATATGGTTCAATTTTATTTCCATAATTCGCTTGCGCGTAGGGGTCTTTAGCTGTGGGAGGAAACCCACGAGGTTGGACTGAAACAGATTGAGAGCTAACGATTAATTCTAATAAAACAGTGTATAGTTTGTACTTTGAGGTGTATGTAAACGATTTACTATATATATAATTATACATTCACTTTTATATATATCATCCGGCTGGAGCTTATTATAAAAAGGTCATGACTGTCATATCTACCATTATGCATGACCTTTTCATTAAGATTTAAACTGCGTCCTTATAGTAATTTTGTAATTTTGTAATTACACGAATCGTGATAGTGGCAACCTAACATAAACGATGAAAAGATAATAGGTATGCCGACACACTGGTTTCAGCACTGGTTTAATAACATTTTGACATTTTAGAAGCACATTTCGTCCGTCTTGGGACTATTCATAAATAATGTCATTACATAGAGATGGAGATCATACTATAACTTACACATGCATGCACATACACAGCGACACTGGTATTAATTGGATAAAGTTAGCATTGTAATACCTTGAAAATGTCTGGGATATCATTACATACTATAATTTATCCTATCAAAAGGCAACACCTAGTAACTCATGTTTTTCTTATTTTGAGAAAGCAAAGGAAAACGAAATGAATGAATATTAAACCCCAGCTTATCCATTGATTTGACTATTGAGTTACTAGGTTTTTCTGTGGCACACTAGGCCAATGAAGGAAGTTGCTAGCTTGTGTCATGAGTGTAACTGCTTACCAAATCAAAAGGTTGGAATATCTATTACAACAACAGGAAGCATATACCCTAGTAACTACAAATTTGGTCCTAACTCAAATTTGATAAAAAAAAAGTGAGTTACTAGGTTTTGACTTTTGACGGGAGAATTATAGATATTTACATAGTATCTCTGTACTTTGTAATATGTAATAACTTGTAATCCTTCTTCTGTTCCGACTAGGCTAATAAAGACGTACATACGTCTATGAGGGCAATTTGGACTACTCTTATATCGAATTCGGCGGGTTGGATGGCCGAATGTATCATACGGTCTGTCATTGAGTCAGTCAACTGGCGTGGTTTCGATTCCCCGGTTGTACGTGACAAGGAGTATGGCCGCCTGTCCAACCTCGTGGGTTTTCTCCGGGTCATCCCCCCCCCCAACTGCTAAAGACCCCTATGCGCAAGCGAATTATTGAACCATGTGTTAGTCCCGAAATGACCTAGTTTGTGTCGAATGGACGTTAACCCCCGTCTCTCTCTCACTCTCTCTCTCTCTGTCTCTCTCTCTCTCTCTCTCTATATATATATATATATATATCGAATTCAAGGGATCTTTTACGTGCACGCCAATGTATACATGGGACCTTGGTTTTTCGTCCCATCCGAAAGACTAGGCAGCTGCCTTTGCCAGGCCCTCCTTTCTGCACCACTGACAAGAAGGAGAAACCACGTTGGAAAATTCCCGATGAACTTTCTCGGCCAATATAGGAATCGAACATGCGACCTCCAGGCTAGCGAGCCAGCGTCTTATCCACTCCCATAATCAATGGAAATTGTAATTGTTTATTACCAACTATATAGTATATAAGTTTTTGTAAAACAATAGTTCACGATACAGTAGTGATGGCGGAGAGGTACAATTATGTAGATTTCAGTGTAAAATATACAAATTGTCCTAAATTATTTAACAATATACAGTTCAAGAGAGAGAGAGAGAGAGAGAGAGACTGCACCGCTGACAAGAGAAAACCACACCGGGGTTTATCGAGGGATTTACTCGGCTACCACCGGGATCGAACACGTGGCCATACAGGCTGAGCCACCGTGGCCCACCTCAAGACGAAATGATCAGCAAACTATATTAACATATCACCGTGTTAATTATTCACTAATCAACATAACAAGTATCCAATTTGTACTGAATTAATGATGGATTAAAGCAATTTGTCTTGAGCCACACTGTTGGCAAAATAACATATAATTGAATAAATAAAGTGGGTATAGAAAAAAATATACGCTAAACCCCATTTCATTTCACTTTCTTTTCCTCATAAAATGTGAGAGGGAGAGAGAGAGAGAGAGAGAGAGAGAGATGGGGTTTAACTTCCACTCAACACAAACTAGGTGATTTCGGGACTAACATATGGTTTAATTGTATTTATTTCAATAATTCGCTTGCGCGTAGGGGTCTTTAGCAGAAGAGGGAAACCGGAGGACCCAGAGAAAACCCACGCAGCTGGACAGGCTACCCAACTTCTTGTTACCTACAACCGGGGATTCGAAACCACGCCAGCTTACTCAATGTCAGACGTTATGATACAGCGCACATGTGCTAATCATTCGGCCACACCTCTGTAAGATGTGATAAATGAAATGAAATGAAATGGGGTTTAACGTCCTACTGTTCTGCTCCGAACTGGGCTAATGAAGACGGGCATACGCCATACAGTGTGCTATGGGGGAAATTTTGCCCGGACAGCGGCACTACGGCCTACTCTTATATCGAATTCCGTCTGTCAAAGGATCTTTAACGTGCACGCCAATGTGTACACCGGACTCGGTTTTTCGTCCCATCCGAAAGACTATACGTTGACTATACCACTGACAAGAGGGAACCACGCCGGATAACCCTGATGAACTTCCGGCGGAATCTAACACGAGATGTCCAGGTTGGCAAGCCAACGTCTTACTCACCGAGGCACCGCGGCTCCATTACCTTTCGAATTGCTGTGGTGGAAAGATAGAATAATATAAAACTTAGTCAGACCCTCCCGTCCTGCATCACTGACAAGGGATAACCACGCCGGAAAATCTGGATGAACTTTCTCGGCCGATGCAGGGATCGAACACCCGACCTTCTTACCCACTTAGCCACGGTGATCCCCGTAAGATGAGATAAGGTGTTTATTGCATCAAAACGCCCATTAAGGATGCATAACAGGTACATTTAGGCATAATCAGATACATTAGATAACACAGCTGACAGACCTTATGATACAGCGCGCATGTCCTAACCATTCGCCCCCCCCCCTCCTCCGTGTAAGATATGATAAGATGTGATAAGATATGATAATATAAGATGTTTATTGCATCAAAACGACCATTAAGGACAGAATAACAGGTACATTTAGATATAATCAGATACATTTGATAATACATTACATTGATGGGTCAAAAAGATTAATAAAAGATACATCTGATAATACATTACATTGATGGGTCAAAAAGATTAATAAAATGGTAGGAGATCTCAGAATATACAGCTGTATTTCAAATTACATAATATACCCATCATTCCGGTATCCATTTACGTAACAATTCGGGGGAAACGGTGCAGGAGATCGGTCATATAGTATAAAAATCCATATTATTTTTTAAATTTAACTTTCAGCAAAGGAACAAGAAGCGCAAGGATACCCTCCTCAGCCGGGATATCCCCCACAACAAGGATATCCCCCACAGCAGGGATACCCTCCTCAGCAGGGTTATCCCCCTCAGCAACAAGGATACCCACAACAACAGGGATACCCCCAGCAACAAGGATACCCACCACAACAGGGATATCCCCAACCGGGCCATGCCCAATACCCTGGAGGTGGTAATGTCATTGTACGTATTGTTTATATTATAATATCTAACTTGACGTTTCTATGGGTTGATGTTATAATATCTAGCTTGACGTTTCTATGGGTTTATATTATAATATCTAGCTTGACGTTTCTATGCAGCTTGACGTTTCTATGGGTTTATATTATAATATCTAGCTTGACGTTTCTATGGGTTTATATTATAGTATCTAGCTTGACGTTTCTATGGGTTTATGTTATAATATCTAGCTTGACGTTTCTATGGGTTTATGTTATAATATCTAGCTTGACGTTTCTATGGGTTGATGTTATAATATCTAGCTTGACGTTTCTATGGGTTTATGTTATAATATCTAGCTTGACGTTTCTATGGGTTGATGTTATAATATCTAGCTTGACGTTTCTATGGGTTTATATTATAATATCTAGCTTGACGTTTCTATGGGTTTATATTATAGTATCTAGCTTGACGTTTCTATGGGTTTATGTTATAATATCTAGCTTGACGTTTCTATGGGTTTATATTATAGTATCTAGCTTGACGTTTCTATGGGTTTATGTTATAATATCTAGCTTGACGTTTCTATGGGTTTATGTTATAATATCTAGCTTATATTATAATATCTAGCTTGACGTCTCTATAGGTTTATAATATCTAGCTTGACGTTTTGACATATAAGTCCCGAAATGACATGGTTTGTATCGAGTGGACGTTAAACCCAAGTTTATCTTTCTTTCTTACAGGTAACCCAGCCCCAGAGTACACTGATCAACGTGCAGAAACCCCCGGATTATCTGGGATTCTCCATCTTTGTGTTGCTCTGTTGTTGCTGTCCAATTGGGGTAGCATCAATAATGTATTCATGCGGGGTAGGTATTCACAATAACAATTGGGTTGGGTATTTACAATAACATTTGGGGTAGTTATTCACAATAACAATTGGGTTGGGTATTTACAATAAGAGTTGGGGTAGGTATTTACAATAACAATTGTGTTGGGTATTTACAATAACAGTTGGGGGTAGGTATTCACAATAACAATTGGGTTGGGTATTTACAATAAAAGTTGGGGTAGGTATTTACAATAACAATTGTGTTGGGTATTTACAATAACAGTTGGGGGTAGGTATTCACAATAACAATTGTGTTGGGTATTTACAATAACAGTTAGATATTCACAATAATAATTGGGTTGGGTATTTACAATAGCAGTTGGGGCAGGTATTTGCAATAACATCTGGGTTAGATATTTACAATGGCAGTTGAGGCAGGTATTTACAATAATAATTGGGTTGGGTATTTACAATAGCAGTTGGGGCAGGTATTTACAATAACATCTGGGTAAGTTTTAACAATAAGAGAATCCGGAAACTAGGTAGACTCGAGCTGCCTTGACCAATCCGTCCCAAAATGGCCGAAGTATTGTAAAATTCTTAAAAACATTGACTTGTATGGTTGTTGACAAATATTCATCTCGGTGCTTACTGCGAAACTTAGTACTCGGTGTTTTACGAGTTAGGCCAAACTAGCCTAATTGACTTTAAATTTATACGCAGTGCCTGAGGTCATGAGATGAAGAATCCTATTGATTTTCAACGATTTCCGATAATTACTGCCAAAGTTATGGCCCTTGATCTCTTTGAAAAATCTAAAGACGCTCTAGAGGCTAAAGTTATCTTCAATTGACTTCAGATTGATACACAGAGTTTAAGGTCTTAGAGACGAACAAGTATCTTGATTTTCAATGAATATTGATAATTTGAACAGCTAAATCCATGATAATAAATGTTTCGTATACTAAACGTTAGCATGGGGTAGAACTTTATAAAAACCAAACAAATTCTAATGGTTTTCTGATAATTACTTAATGAGTTGTTACTCTTAATCAGAATTTTGTGTATTATAAATGTTTCATTACCGAAAAAATAAAAAATATGCGTCCACTCTTGTTGACTGCCCGGACGATTTAGCTGCTGTGGGCGTATGTTTCGTTACCATGGCTCTGTAACCTGGTCTTGCCGTGATTTTTCCGTGGACAAATTCTAACACTGACATTTCGGTATTATTGTCAAGCTCATCTTCGATTACAAAACTACAGAAATAATTAAATAAAAAAAACCCTTAACACCCTAAATAATCGCCATACTGGTTTTTATACGTCCACATTGCCGTCGCCCCCATCCGTCCGTCCGTCCGTCCATCGGTCCACCGTCCGTCCATCGTCCACAATTTCTTGTGAATGCTCTAACGCTAAAAGTTATCACCCAGTTGTTTTAATATTGATATATGTTGTTTGCATTAGTGAGATGAAGAAGCATATTTAATTTCAATAATTTCCGTTTATTACGTCTAGAGTTATGGCCCTTGTTTCACTTTGTTGAATCTTGTGAACGCTCTAATGCCAAAAGTTAACATCTGATCTCTGTGAAATTTATATGCAATATTTAAATTAGAGAAACAAAGAAGCCTATTTAATTTCAGCAATTTCCGTTTATTACTTCTAGAGTTATGACCCTTGTTTCACTTTGTTTAACCTTGTGAACGCTCTAATACAAACAGTTATCATCCTATCGTTCTGAAATTTATATGCATTATTTAAATTGGTGAAACGAAGAATCCTATTGAATTTCAGCACTTTCCGTTTATTACGTCTAGAGTTCTGGCCCTTGTTTCACTTTATTGAACCTTGTGAACGCACGCTACAAGTTATCACCCATTCTTTGTGAAATTTATATGCATTATTTAAATTAGTGAAACGAAGAAGCCTATTTAATTTCAATAATTTCTGTTCATTACGTCTAGATTTATGGCCCTTGTTTCACTTTATTGAACATTGTGAACGCTCTAACGCCACAAGTTATCACCCAATCTTTATGAAATTTATATGCATGATTTGAATTAGTGAAACGAAGAATCCAATTTAATTTCAATAATTTATGTTCATTACGTCTAGAGTTATGGCCCTTGTTTCAATTTATTGAACCTTGTGAACGCTCTAACATCAAAAGTTAGCTGCCGATCTGTAAGAAATTTGCATGCGTCATTTAAAGTAGTAAAGAGAAGAATCCTATTGAATTTCAGCAATTTCCGTTTATTACTTCTAGAGTTATAGCCCTTGTTGCACTTTGTTTAACCTTGTTATTGCTCGATTGATGGAAGTTATCATCCAATATGTATGAAATTGATATGCATCATTTAAATTTGTGAAACAGAGGTCTATTGAATTTCCGCAATTTCCGTCAAAGTGATCATCTAATCGGTATGAAATTTATATGCATTATTTAAATTAGTAAAACGAAAAATCCTGTCAAATTTCAACAATTTCTGTAAATTACTTCCAGAGTTGAGACCCTTGTTTCAGTTTGTAGAACCTTGTGAACCCTCAAACGGCAAAAATTATAATCTGATCTGTATGGATTTGGAACTGTCTTGTAAAAGCCCCCAATTACCTACAAAGAGATAAATATCTGACGACCCTTGTCGGCCACTCGGACGATTTAGCTGCGGTGGGCGTATGTTTCGTTGCCTGGCAACCAATCTTTAATTTGTAGAACAGACATGGCGATTGTACGGCGTACAAAAAAACAGAGGCAGGTCACGCCCATGTCCAGTATTTGCCTTGTCAACTCGCAGAACTTCGAGTAAGAAGGTTAAAGCGCCCCCCTACCCGAGTTGCTTCTTCTTCTGAAAGAAATAGGACTGTACAGAAACCAAAGGCAGTGGCCTCGAGTAGACCCCGATTACCAGACACTCGTTCGTAGCTAGTAAAGTCCGCATTTATAGTCCCTAATCGCTTCAGTTTCTCTACTAAACCCGCAGATCCGTTCACCTTAAACAGACTGTCTAGAAGAGTCTCGACAAAAGATTAAAACCATTCAGCAAGTCATAAACATGTACAAATAAGATATACCTGACCTAAAAATAACACTCGAAGACCCTAAACAGGTGTGTTTTTTCCTAAACAGTTTCGAAACCTCGGCCAGTGCATTTTGTTTTAGTTTACACTAATTCACTCCCCTAATCCCTAACTCTGGACGTAGCCCTAACGCTTACCCTAAACTAACCTACACTCTCGCCAATAACCACGTGCCCTAACCTTATTTACACCTTGGCGAAAATTGGGTTGGCTTTAACAAATAGCTCTAGCCAATCCTCAAACATTCATGGTGCCACCTAGCGGCGTTTTAATGTATGCTTACCATAACTCTCTTTCAGTCACGTGATGCCTTCACTGCTGGAGATGTGAACACTGCTCAAGCCAAGGGATCAACCGCCCGTACTTTAAACATAGTTGGCCTAGTACTGGGTATTATTTTGTTTATAATGGGTACTATTTTCAGATTCTTAATATATGCATAGTCCGTACATTCCCTTGTTTTTATTCATTCTATACTTAATAAAAACATGGTAATGGCCGGACTTTTTCTTTTTTTAGAATCCTCGCATTTGCGGGTTAATATAGGCTGCCAGACAAAACACTCTGTGCTTCCAATAACATTTTATTTTATATTGTTTTTGTCAATTTATTTATCGATTTGTACAACAATTATTATTTATATATATCATACAAATAGCTCTACCCTCTTATGCATTTAAAGGACAATATTGGTGTCAGGCATTATCACATAGGGGATAGAACTGGTTAAAAACGTTTCAAATATCATTTTAACACAGACATCATTGCTACGATAGATGCATTATGAAGATTTCAAGAAACGGAACTGGCGAACGCACGAGGTAAACGCGACAAATGTCCGTGCATTACCATGTTTTTATTAAGTAAAAAATGAATAAAAACATGGGAATGTACGAATTATTTCTAGTTTTATCGTTATCTCTTATCTAGTGACAGAAATTTATTCTTTTTGAATTGTCAGCTATCCTCCCACAGATAAAACAACTTTTGTTCGTCTTTGAAGGAATTATTAGTAAGCTCGTTTATCTGTTATCACTCGTCACTTCAGTTAGTTATATAGAAGGATAACTCGTGTTATCCTTTTGCGTTCGTCACTTCTGTTTCTTGAAATCTTCATACCGCATCTATCGTAGCTGTGATCTCTGTGTTAAAATCGTATTTGGAATGTGTTTAACCAGTTCTATAACGACCAATATTATACTTTAAGGTGTTATTATTGAACAATTGTCTTACTTTCTACCCCACCTCTTCGTGATTAGAAATTTATTACCCACAGCCTAGACAAGAACGGCAATTTTCACACGTACTCCAAGATCAAGTGAATTTATTTCGTAACTGTGTCGTTTCGCAATCGGTTATCAGTACCAAATAAAACAAAACACGAAATAATCATTGCGCAGTCCAGCAAACACGAATACGTCTTTAACTTCTTGGCCTGGCTTAGCTGTGAGCTTATAACCGAAAGGTCAAGGCAAGACGGAGCGACGAGGTACGGATTTCATATCCATGTGAAGTAAATGGAAATTGGTGTCATTGCAAATACCTTTTTTAAAACGCCCACATTTAAGTATAGTTTATATATATTGTCGCTACACCAGTTCGTTGACGTTCTGGGGGCCCAAGTTATCTAATTCTTCTGGAATTCATACAAAATGTCGATTTTCATTAAGGCAAGACGGAGCGAGGAGGTGCGGATTCCATATCCATGTAAAGTAAATGGAAATTGGTGTCATTGCAAATACCTTTTTTAAAACGCCTACATTTAAGTATAGTTAAATATTGTCGCTACACCAGTTCGTTGACGTTCTGGGGGCCCAAGTTATCTAATTCTTCTGGAACCCGTACACAATGTCGATTTTCATTAGACGAAGATATCTTTGATTCAATGATTTCCGATATCTCAAACAGTTAAAGTTATCATCTGGTTATAGGTATATATTTTATTTATCACCCAATAATACCTTCTACAGTAGATATCGCTCGTGTGATATATTTCATAATCTACTGCGATATCTCCTTAGGAGATATATCGCTTTACATGAATTTGATTGGTCAGTTGAAAAGGAACTACTTTTTTTATTTTCAAAGAACAGTTCATTTCTTATTAAAAGTAACTTTTTAAAATTAAAGATGAACTATTGTTATTCAATTGACCTTGATGGAAACACTGGGTCAATATAAAGGACTTTGCAATGGTTGAATTGCTGTCAAAAATTGATGTATCACTACGCCGTAATGTTCAGTAAAAGTGAAATCTACAACAAAGAATTATATTATCTATTTGTGCATGTAAGAAGGGATTGGGTGATAAATAAAATCTCCTACTCGTCTTTTTTGATATCAAAAAATATCAACACTTGTTGATAAAGTAAAAAAAAAACTCGGCAGAGCCTCGTTTTTTGTTACTTTATCAACTTGTGTTGATATTTTTTGATATAAAAAAAGACTGGTAGGAGATTCTCTATATATTGACTATATAAGTTTAGTTATTTCTGATTACCGAGTAGATTTTTTATTCCTGATCAGTGGTTAATGTCTTTAAATGTTCCTATTACCTCAAACGAATCAATTGTGACAAGCACTGGGGACCGTAGGTCGAATGAGTAGCAGTGTGTGTATGATTCCTTGCCTGGGAAGCTATCTTTTGATTATTGCTTTGACCTAATGGAAATATAATGTACAAGTTTTTACATCTTGTTCTTTCTTACACCAATAAATTGATCATTTACTACTCTATGCATAATGGTGTTTTACACACATGTAAACATGTATTTCTGTGTTTTTGTGTAATTTGTTTTATTAAGAAAAATAAATAAGAAAATGTAGAGGAGATAAGCCCAAGTGTAGTTTTTCTTTTTGGTTTTTACTCTGAAAGCAATGATATATTAAGTTAATTATATGAAATAAAATGAAATGAAAGGAAATGAAATGAGGTTTAACGTCCTGCTGTTTCGAATGTGCTGTGAGGGAGGAAAGTTTGCCCGGGAAGCAGCACTACAGCCTACTCTTATATCGAATTCCAAATGACAGGGGATCTTTTACGTACATGTCAATGTATACACGGAGCCTTGTTTTTTCGTCCCATCCGAATGACTATACGTTGTCACTTGCCAGATCCCTCCCCTCCCAAGTTAAGGAACCAACGTCTTCCTCACTGAGCCATCCCGTCTCCCATGCTTGAAATGAAATGAAATGAATTGGGGTTTAACGTCCTACTGTTCTGCTCCTAACCTGGGCTAATGAAGACGGGCATACGCCATACAGTGTGCTATGAGGGAAATTTTGCCCGGGCAGCGCCACTACGGCCTACTCTTATATCGAATTCCAACTGCCAAGGGATCTTTTACGTGCACTCCAATGTGTACACGGGACCTCGGTTTTTCGTCCCATCCGAACGACTAGACAGCTGTCCTTGTCAGGCTCCCATGCTTGATAAAGGACTATTAAAATCTGGAAACATGAAAAGATGACGTGACGTTCGTATTTCTCAGTAATAAAATAAATTACACCAATTAACGTGTGTTTGTATGTTTTTATGAAACAACGGATATCACAATTCACACCTTCTTCAATGTGTTAAACATATGTATACAGGATGTCAGCCTTCTCACCTGTATTAAACTAAAAGAAAACACTTTTATAGAGTTTCAGATTCTTTATTTCGTTCAATACAAAAGAAATGCCCGAGACGCGTATCCGAGTTGGTTCGTCATCTTCTTACCAGTGGCAAACCAGCTGAAAATAAATTGGACTTGCACCAAGTTTGCATCGACTATCCTTATGCCAACTATGTCCGTTTTACAGAACCAAGAAACGGCGTGTCCGATTACAACAAATCTTATAACACCTGAACGAGACCCTCAAATCAGTTAGAAACTCTACAACAAAATATAAACAATAATTCACGCTTGCCTCAGCCCGAGCTAACAATATTCGTGAAAAGGGAAGCGAAGTGCCTACAAGCACTGACTCTTCTATAATACCCGCACGGAGCTCGCAAATTAATTAAAAACATAATCCAACTCAAACGCTACCAAAGACGAAAATCTACCCTGGAACCCCTGCTTGTTCCAAGCGGAATAGGTGATCACTCCTGTAGGATCCCGTGGAATGCTTACTTCAAAGTGAAATAATTAATACTCCAGTTGAGGTCCGCACCCCCCCCCCCCCGATCGTTCCAATAAGACTGAATCTGACAGGCCTTATATACCCGCTTATACGCTATGCAACTGGGAAATGCACGTGCATTTAGATCTCACTCTCCCATCGGTTGATTTTATGAGACATAGACCAATAGAAAGTTCCAAACTACAAGTCGACGGCATATTCACAAACAAACCCCATTACAAGTTCGACGCAACATGAAGCAATATGAATAGATAACTATGCGTGGAACAAATAATAAACGGCAAGTTCTTGCTATTGTTATGATCTATAAAATACGAAACCACCACATTATGTAAGATTTAGATACAGAGACAATTTAAGAGACAAATTAATAAAAATTAAAGATACATTATGTAACATTTAGAAAAAGAGCTGGCCATTCTTACTATAATAGCTCAAACATTGATAATGTAAGATGAAAATATTGAAAATTTCATTCAAATTACTTCATTCTGAGGTAAGTTATCACTGTTTGTAGTTTTGACAAGATGTGTGCATTGTGGTAACCATTGCACTGGTATATTGCTTTCCCATTTTTAAATTAAATTGTTAAATGGCGAACCGTTCTAATCGATATAGTTAAATTCTCGAGTATTCAATGGCATCGAGAGTTGATTTTGGTCTGGATAAGTTAATTAATGTATATATAATTAATAATTTAGATAATACATGTATATAAAAGTTTGAACGAGAATTACCATAAGTTGAAGTTCAATCTTGATTCTATCAGTCAATCAATGAGGGATTAAGTAAGATAGCGAGAAAGAGAGAGAGAGAGAAATGGGGTTCAACCTAGGTCATTTCGGGACCAACATGTGGTTTAATTTTATTTCAATAATTCGCTTGCGCGTATGGGTCTTTAGCAGTGGGAGGGAACCGGAGGACCCGGAGAAAACCCACTAGGTTGGACAGGCTACCCTACTCCTTGTCACGTACAACCGGGAATTCGAAACCACGCCAGTTGACTTAATGACAGGCTTTATGATACACCACGCACGTGCTAACCATTCGGCCAGCCAACCCCACAAGTAAGATAGCAATGCGCATACGTGAGTCAGTCTTTAAAGAATACTGGTGCTTGTCTAGAAGTGTTGGTAATTAAAATTATTCATTTTAGTGAGGATTTTAATGCCAAGAGGATAGCTTTTGTTTCAAGAATGTTTATGAGCAATGTCCCTTCCTGTGAAGACCAATTTCCACCAACAAAAATGGCATCAGCAAAAGAGAGAGAGAGAGAGAAATGGGGTTTAACGTCCACTCGACACAAACTAGTTCATTTCGGGACTAACATATGTTTTTTTAATTTTATTTACATAATTCGCTTGCGCGTAGGGGTCTTTAGCAGTGGGGGGAAACCGGAGGACCCGGAGAAAACCCACGAGGTTGGACAGGCGACCCTACTCCTTGCCACGTACAACCGGGGATTCGAAACCACGCAAGTCGACTCAATGGCAGACTTTATGACACAGCGCGCACGCTAACCATTCAGCCACCCCCACCCCCCTGGCTTCAGCAAAAGAACCCCATCCAGATTTACTTGAATCTGTTTGAATATTATAGACCGGCTTTGGCATAACAGTCGTTTTTTTCTGAGTTACTGATGTGTTCATTCCACCACTGAATTTCATTCCTAGTATTCTCATCAAGAATCATACTTGCATCAAAGTTCCACTGATTGGGTCTAAGGTATCTGATTTTACAGAGCTCGAGATATTTAAAATGGAGGAAGCCATATATTGTGGCTGGAACTGCAGAGTTATAAAGGCCAATTAATGTTGCTATTTCCCGGATGGATGGTGACATTCTTTTCAGAATTTCATAACCATACTTAGTAATATTCATAGGATTTTCATCCGGTCATTGTACAGTCATTTGTTCTGAATTAATAATGAAACCTAGGCATGTAATTCGTTTTGAGGGTGTAAGAGCCGACTTTTCACAATTTATATAGCACCCCAAGGATTCTAGTTCGCTATATTAATTGACACTCTATTTCTAGTGCTGAGTCAGCTTGAACGTTAATATCATCCATGTACATAACACAAAGAATACCATTTTGACGAAAGTATGCCATAACTTTGGAAATAATGGACCCCATTGGAAATAAGCAACGGATATTATATTTATGGGCTATCCTAAGTAAAGGTCTCTTCATGACACCATACCAATCATATTTCTCTATGCTTGTCTCATTTCTCATCCCAATTATACAATGTAGCACATAGTTCTTATTTTCATATACATATCTGTATTTATTGTTGTCACTTTCCCAGTTGTGCAATGCGGCACTAGTTCTTATTATAATACATTAATTTATTGTCATGTTGTAACATTTACTTGAAGAATAAATAAATAAATACATAAATAAATAACCGGTCTCATTATTTTCGTAAAAACCCTAGGACTACAAGACAATCAGAAGGGCATGCAAGTGTACTGGAATATATTTCCATTCCATCTGAAAAGAAGTTTCTTTCGGCTATTATCAGTCACATTCACAGAATGAAAGGCGTTTTCCAAATCAATTGATGCCAAACATGAATTGGGTTTAATCATGTCACAGGCAGTTTGAAGACTTTCCATTTTAAAATCTTGGTATTTCATAGTCTTATTCATTTCTTTTAAGTTTAGAATAAGTCTGTATTTATCATTTTTCTTTTGTCGAATACAGATGTTTGATATGAATTCATCTTGTTCTGAATCCAAGCGTTCAATAACATGTCTATTTACAATCTGATTAAAATACAGATCTGACCAGTTGTAGCGATAGGTCGCGTCACAGGTCATACGAGCGGTTTTTGACCTATGACGTCAGACATTTGATAAACCAAACAGCATTGATATGTTACTAGTGGATAACCCACAGTTCCGTGCAAAATACGCCTAAAGCTCGCCGTAACAGACTGTTTCATTGGCTAATCCCTCGAACACGTCAATGATAACAACTCTTCCTGATCCTAGTGTAGTAAAGACAAGTAAAACTATATTTTGTACTATAAAAACGAAACGAAATAGGATCTGTGTTTTAATCAGATTGGTCTATGTAGTAAAGAATCAATTTCATCACTAATAATACTAGTTTCAGTTTGATTCGACATAGGGTGTTGGTTGAATGGCCGAATGGTTAGCACGTGCGCGCTGTATCATGAGGTCTGTCATTGAGTCAACTGGCGTGGTTTCGATTCCCCGCTTGTACGTGACAAGGAGTGGGGCCCCGACTGTTCAACCTCGTGTGGTTTGTCCTGGTCCTCCGGTTTCCTCCCGCTGCTAATGACCCCTACGCGCAAGCGAATTAAATTAACAAAAGACATTAGATTAGGAATATAAAACAATTTGCATTTATCGTCTGTTCATGTTAGATATTTTATCATGGGTTTCTGTTCCAAGCTTTTGGCACTTATCAGTTAAATCAGACAACTTTACCCAGGAGTTAGCTCTTGAATCATAATCAAGCCATTTAACTCTATATTCCCAATACTATCTTAAGAATCTTTTATATTTCAAAAGTTTTTAAGTGGTGATCATTTTGTGACAAATTAGGATCATTATCAGTATAGGTGCAAAATCAGGTTCAGGTAAAAGATTATCATCAACCTCTCCATAATATAACAGGGTCTCCTGTTTCTCGGAATCTTAACTAAAGATAAAATCCAAATTTTAGTAGATGGTTCAAATTTGATTGGCTAAGCACTAAAATCAATTTAATATTATCCAATTGAATTACTGAAATCTGGATTTTATCTTAGATAAAATTTTGTAAAACAGGCCCCTGGTTCTACGCTATCGATATTACATGGTGGTGTAGGGTGTAGGGTAAATAACCATGTTTAAGACAATTGGTATTCACTCTATTCCTAACTAAGTATCCGTCACTTTTGCGGCGCAGTTTCACATGAACATCAGAGAGTTTTTGAATTATATTATATGGACCAGACCAAGGCCTGAGTACGTTTCTTGCTTGTCCACCAACTAAAACAGGTTTATATAAAAAAAAATACTGTGTCACCATCTGAAAATGTAGGGGGGGGGGGAAGCTTGGCTATCTGCATGGCTTTAGCGGGAAATGTTAATCATTGAACTCCGTCAAGACATTCACCTAATGAACATCAACATCAAGTTTAAACATTCTACCTCAATTAAAAGCAGAGTTGTCATGTTCGTTCCAAAGTCTTGACCAATCAAATTGCTTAGCCTACGCAGAAAATTCTCATCAAACATAGTTGCGGTAATGATATAATGAATCTATACTCGGAGTTTCATAGCTCTCACTTAATTATAACCAAAGTTATCGTGTCCAAAAGCAATCAAATTGCTAATCTCTGCTAACCATAAGCAGATACGGACAATGTTTATCATCTAACTCCGTCACGGTATTCACCTAATGAACGCCTATACACCAAGTTTTAACAACACTCCACCTCAATTTAAAGTTATTTTGTTTCAAAGTGTCGACCAATCAATTTATTTATCGCTCTGCTTACCCTGAGCCGAGAATGTTCATTATAGAACTTAGTCAACGTTTGGATGTAATGAAACTATACACCAAGTTTGATCACTCTCACTTTATCAGAACTAAAGTTATCGTGTCCCAAAGCATCAAATTGCTTATCTCTGCTTACCCTAAACAGAAAATGAAATGCTCATCTTCGAACCCCATCAAGGCATTGACCTAATAAACACCTACACCAAGTTTGAACATTATAGCTCAATTAGAGAGAGAGTTATTGTGCCCCAAAAAGTGTGACGGAGAGACAGACAGACCGACGAACCCATTTTAATAGCCCCCTGCTGCTTTCTTCGAAAAGCGGGCGACAAAAACATCTTAACACTTAAAAGCTGATTTACCAGCATGTTTGGGGGACTAAAGCAGGGGGACCTCACCACACACAAACGATTACACACTACCCTAAAGATAGTACACAATATCCAGGCAATGCACACAACAAACCCACATATCAGATCAAATAAATGGACCCAGTATATAATCATTGGAGATTAAAGGAATTTCGATGTGTGAGAAAATTTGATATTTTCTCTTCGTTTGCTTGGTTATGTTCTAAGATTTGCATAAGCAGGATTCTCGTCCTTGTTCACATTAACATACGATTCAGTGGAATCTGTAACGAAGATGGTAAAATTTTAAAATATTCTACCGCAATTAAAAGCAGAGTTGTTATGTTCCAAAGTCTTGACCAATCAAATTGATTGGCCTAAGCAGAAAATTCTCATCGAACCTAGTCAAGGTAATGATATAATGAATCTATACTCAAAGTTTCACAGCTCTCACTTAATTATAACCAAAGTTATCGTGCCTCAAATTAATGACATTGTTTATCTCTGCTTTCCTAAGCGGACAATGTTCATCATCTTACTCCGTCAAGACCCCCGTCAAGGTATTCACCCAACGAACGCCTACACCAAGTTTGAACAACATTCCACCACAATTAGAAGAAGAAGTTATTGTGTTTCAAAGTCTCGACCAATCAAGCTTAATATGAGAGAGGGGGGGGGGGGGATGCCAGTCACCTTTGATGCCTGTTGTTTTTACTACGTGGCTACGTGTATAGTTATTTATAGTGACCAACAGGCATCATGTACACTGTTTATGACAGGCACTCTCACAAGCTATGAAATGTTTTTTACAAATATAATTGCAATTTTTTAATTTACACTCACTATTTACAACATGATGTCGTAGATCTATATCTGGTAAAGTGCTAATCAATTCTAAGTATGGAAGATTCCCGGCTTTAATAGCTCAGTGAAATATTTTTTTTAGCGCGCGCGCGAGAGAGAGAGAGAGAGAGCGAGAGAGAGAGAGAAAGAGTTTAACATCCACTCGACACAGACAAACTAGGCCATTTCAGGACTAACATATGGTTTAATTTATTTCAATAATTCGCTTGCGGATAAGGGTATTTAGCAGTGCGAGGAAACCGGAGTGCCCAGAGAAAACCTACGAGGTTGGACTAAACTTAATAAGGGCCGATAAATAGAGCACTTAATGCGCATACTAATATAACTCGAGAATTGACAGAAGTATGAATTTAGCCTGCCTCCATTTAATAAAATTTTATAAGGTTTATTTAATCTTTATGCGCATGGCGATGTGAAACAGAGTAGCACCGTATTAAATAATAGTATACTAATTATTGGATATGGCGGTCATTCGGGTTGGGGTCTATTATTGGATATGGCGGTCATTCGGTTGGGGTCTATTTTTGGATATGGCGGTCATTCGGGTTGGGGTCTATTCTTGAAGTACTTAAAGATGGGTTCCCAGAAAAGTATTTATCGGGTGGTTATTTCCAATAAAAGTATGGCAATTTTGGTATATATGGAAAGTAGAAATATCCAATCTTACTAGAAAAATACTGGATTCCCCGAAAAACACTCATGGAGCGTATACAGGACAAAAATGTAAGGGTTCCCCTAATCAACAGCCCGACAATTAGGAACTTCTGCACGCGTGATGTCAAAGGTCTCACGCGAACATTGAGTGCTTGATGTACAAGTTGATAAACTTTATGAAGAGTTAGACGTACAATACTTTCTGAGATAAAAATGACGGAAAAAGACGCGGGTTATGGATAATCCGAGAATTTAATTAGGATTCGATATTTGTAATAAATAGTAAGCGATTAAAGACAACATCGTCTTATGTATGCAATGAATTCTCCTCTGACTCCCAAGACGTGACGTAAACATGACCTGGTTTGATCGAATTTTAATAGCAGGGCATTCCTTCGCAATTATGACAAATTAATTAGTTTGAATATGTTTTTGTTCCATATATACCATTAAATCACCCAGTTTTTACGCGGGAACCCATCTTTAAGGCATGGAGAAAAGTATGAAATAGCACATTTACCCTCTTCTACATACACGTGATCTCTGGTTTTACCATCTACTGTATTCAGATCATCATATACTGTAGTTTGAGTTTTACCATCTACTGTATTCAGATCATCATATACTGTAGTTTGAGTTTTACCATCTACTGTATTCAGACCATCATATACTGTAGTTTGAGTTTTACCATATACTGTATTCAGACCGTCATATACTATAGTTTGAGTTTTACCATCTCCGGTATTCAGACCGTCATATACTGTAGTTTGAGTTTTACCATCTACTGTAATCAGACCGTCATATACTGTAGTTTGAGTTCTATCATCTACTGTATTCAGACCATCATATACTGTTGTATGATGGAGTCCATCTACGGTAGTTTGTTCTCGATGCTGAAGTGGGTCATAATTCTGGTTTTCTGTAGTAGATGATTGTAGATTAACATAATGTTGTAGACCTTGGTAACTTGTATCATCTACACCAGTAGCTGCTGTTCTTGTGTCCAGATGTAGACCGTCATATGTTGACGATTCTTAAATATACAGGTAAAGAATAATATATATATATATTTCAAAGTTTTTCTAAATTCAACTCTCAGGTTTATATACCAAAAATACTAAGATTTGGATGGGAAAATCTATATTTTAAATACATTTACATATTTGCCAGGATCTTTCGGCCTTACGGCGGCGTCCTCGGGGCTATGTACAAAAGACAATAACGTCGCTTAGTTTACATAATAATACCCAATCAGGTACGTTTAAGTGTACATAACAGTATAAATAACGTTAATTTAATTTATAAAGGAAATGAAATTAAATCAAATAAGGTTTAAACGTCCTACTGTTCTGTTCCGATTTGAGCATACGCTATGGGTCACAATGTGACCGGACAGCGGCACTACGGCCTAATCTTATATCCATATCCAACTGTCAAGGGATCTTTTACGTGCATGCCAATGTGTACACGGGAGCTCGGATTTTCGTCCCATCCGAACGACTATACGTTGTCCCTTGCCAGGACATCTGTCGTGCATCACTTACAATCGGGAACCACCCCGGAAAAACCTGATGAACATTCTTGGCCGACGACGGGGTCGTACATAGGGCCTCCGGGTTAGGGAGCCAATGGGTTACAACATCAGTTAATAAGGATAGGCGTATATATGTAAGCACACGGGAATAGAAACGTGTGACAAACCGACCGTTGGTGGCCTGGACAGTAACTTACAAGGGCCTTGAATTTAAGATTATAATAAAATAAACACAAACCTTCTTTCTCCATCCCCTGTCTTCGTTTCCAAACCATAATAAAAACCACTACAGCCACGACAATAATAACAATAACAATTGTTGTTACAATTCTAGCTATTAAACCTCCATTCGTTCCTGTTGGTGTGTGGGGCCCTGACGTAAGTAAACATAGAATTAAAGATGCATTATGTAAGATTTAGATAAAGAGCCAGTCGTTCTGTCTATAATAGTTCATAAATAGATAATGAAAAGGGAATATATTGAAAATGTCAGTCAAATTTCTTCATTCTGAGCGAAGTTATGACTACTTGAAGATATTCATTGATACTGTTGTTACAATGATACACCAAGTCTCGATTATCCATTATTGAACTAAATGGAGATCGTTCTTCAATCCGCCCCAAATCACAACCATCCGATAGTCTAGAGAGTTGATTATCGGCTTGGCATGTGAATAAATATCTCATTAACAATTAATATAACATTTGAGCCCGGGGGGGGGGGGTGGATGGCTGAATGGTTAGTTGTGCTCGCTGTATCATAAAGCCTGTCATTGAGTCAACTGGCGTGGTTTCGATTCCCCGGTTGTACGTGACAAGGAGCAGGGTCGCCTGTCCAACCTCGTGGGTTTTCTCCGGGTCCTCTGGTTTCCTCCCACAGCTAAAGACCCCTACGCGCAAGCGAATTATTGAAATAAAATTAAACCCTGTGTTAATCCCGAAATGACCTAGTTTGTGTCGAGTGGACGTTAAGCCCCATTTCTCTTTCTCTCACACACATTTGAGGCCCAAAGAAAAGATCTACAATGCTGCATCTTTAATGTTTTGTGAATTTGTAATTGGTAGCGGCGGAAATTAAATCAGGGTGCTTTAATTTTAATTCGATAATAAGAGTAAAATGTCCATAAAATGAATAGCAAAATCATAATAAAAGTACGTTGGACTAACCCCAAATACTAGTATGTTGGACTAACCCAAAATAATTGTAAGTTGGACTTAACCAAAATAATAGTAAATTGGACTCAACCCATATAATTGTAAGTTGGACTAAACCAAAATAATAGTAAGTCGGATTCAACCAATATAATAGTAAGTTGGCCTCAACCAAAATAATTGTAAATTGGACTAGCCCAAAATAATTATAAGTTGAACTCAACCAATATAATTTTAAGTTGGATTCAACCAAAATAATTGTAAGTTGGACTAACCCAAAATAATTGTAAGTTGGATTCAACCAAAATAATTGTAAGTTGGACTATCCCAAAATAATTGTAAGTTAGACTAACCAATATAATTGTAAGTTGGACTCAACCAATATAATAGTAAGTTGGACTAACCCAAAATAATTGTAAGTTGGATTCAACCAAAATAATTGTAAGTTGGACTAACCCAAAATAATTGTAAGTTAGACTAACCAATATAATTGTAAGTTGGACTCAACCAATATAATAGTAAGTTGGACTCAACCAAAATAATTGTAAGTTGGACCAAAATAATAGTAAGTTGGACTCAGCCAAAATAATTGTAAGTTGGACTAACCCAAAATAATTGTAAGTTGGACTAACCCAAAATAATTGTGAGTTGGACTTAACCAATATAATAGTAAGTTGGACTAACCCAAATTAGTTGAAGTAAACATACGAGCGTAATACCGAATAATGAAGACGCATCGGGTGTTCCAGAAGGAGTAAGACGGTTACCCTGTGTAGGGTTTTGGCCGAACAAACAACGTCAACAACATCGTCATCAAATGAGAAAGTATATTATAATAATCACAAACATCTGACAAACAGATTACCAGTTATCAACAGTTCATGACACACATGATATATAAGATAAAGGCCGACAAACGGCGACAGACGACGAACGTGTCTTCCCTACTATTCCGCCATAGCTGTCCCACAGTGCAGCGTCGCACGTGCAGCTTAACATATTACCGTAAAGTTATTAAAGAGATGTACAATGCATAACTGTATAAAGCAATACCCACACCTGTCAGTAATGAGGTGCTTAGAATATGGTATAGTAATCTACAGCCAGTATCATGTGATCAGCCATGTCCGCCTGTCAGTCGTTACCTTATTGTACAACATAGACACAATAATCTTAAAGACCGTCTTCAGTAGCCCAGTAGTTGCAGATTGCACAACCCAACTTCTCAAATACATACCTACCATATATTAGTCTCCAGATGACTGGGTTTGAACCCAAATCTTCTTGAATTGAACCCAGTTTTTCTTGGATTGGACCCAATTTCTCTTCAATTGAACCCAATTTCTCTTCAATTGAACCCAATTTCTCTTGGATTGAACCCATATCCCCTTGGATATTGTATCTAAGTATCATATTGTATCCAAGTACCATATTTAAAATTTCTGTTTTTATTTAGTTCAACCAATTTTAATTAGTCTTTGTATCTAGTCTACCTACCTATCTTTAAAGTTTGTATTGTCGATATCAGATAAACTGGTTGACTATTACCATATTTATTTCTAGCTATAACTCTAATATAATATGGTGTATCAGCTTGTAGATTCTTTATACAATAATCAGGTTTAGATTCTGGTAGAGGTGTAGAACTAGTCCAGGTTTTATTATCTACTGAATGTTGAACAATAAATTCCTGTTGATCTCCACCATTAAATCCTGGTGTCCATGTAATACAGATACTGTCATGACTTGGTGGTGATGACATGATGTTAGAAGGTAGATCAGGTTTAGCTGAAAGTGGAATGAAATGGGGTTTAACGTCCTACTTTTCTGCTCCCACTGGGATAATGAAGACGGGCATACGCCTTACGATGTGCTATGGGGACGGGGCGGCCGACTCGTATATCTAATTACAGCTTTTAAGGGCTCTTTTTCGACAACTCGAACGTGTAGATAGTCATCGGTTTTCGTACCATACGAACGACTAGACACTGTCTTTCCGTCGTCCTGCACCACAGAGCTGTAACTTGGTACTTTAGTTCCGTAGCACCAGGTCATTAGATACATTGACTGTATACGATGCATAGAAGATGGTATACTAACATTGAGCTACAACTTGATACATTAACTATATATGATGTATAGAAGGTGTTATATTATACTTACATTGATGTTTAACCTGATACTCTAGGTCTGTATAACCAATATTATTAGATACATTGACTATATATGATGTATAGTAGATGTTGGATGTAATGTTGATATTTAATGTTGATCTATAAGTGTTGATGGATGTACTGGTATCATTCTGTTTAAAGACATCACCATTATAGATAGGTTCAACATCTCCAGTAGTTATATTATTATAATACCAGGTGAAAGTTGGTGGTGGATAGGATATAACATCAGCTACAAGTTGTACTATATCTCTTATATCACCACTAACTATAGATGTTGTTATAACTCTAGTATCTTGTCTAGGTGAATCTACAATATTAGGGACATAACATCAGCTACCAGCAGTACTGCCGTAGTGCCGTTTCTTGCGATTATAGCTTATTCCAACACTAAGGACGATAACTCGGAATAAATTAAAGTTAAAATTGTACTTTTAATAACCGAGTGTTTAAAACTGGGTAACGGTCACAATAACGAGATAGGTATTAAAATAACTATATAATAGTGTTAAATTGCACATAAGAAACAGATGTTTAAATACAGAAGATGATATGGACAGGGCAAGAACGAGTGTTAAAAGACTAGAAACATTGGTGAGATATTAAGAAACCTTGTATTGCAATTTGTTCTATGTTGCTATAAATTGAACGTAGATTGACTGGGCAATATTATAGATACCTGTTATATTACCACTAAGTATAGTTAGTGAGACATATCAAATACACCTGATAATCAAAATCAATATATGTGTTTCAGTAAATATGTTAAGCTCACAGAGAGAGGGTGCGTGTATATATTCAAAATCTCTAGGTAGAGACAGATTCCTAGGTAGAGGCAGATCACTAAGTAGAGACAGATCACTAAGTAGAGACACATCACTAGGTAGAGACAGGTCACTAGGTAGAGACAGGTCACTAGGTAGAGACACATCACTAGGTAGAGACACATCACTAGGTAGAGACAGGTCACTAGGTAGAGACAGGTCACTAGGTAGAGACAGGTCACTAGGTAGAGACAGATCACTAGGTAGAGACAGATCCCTAGGTAGAGGCAGATCACTAAGTAGAGACAGATCACTAAGTAGAGACACATCACTAGGTAGAGACAGGTCACTAGGTAGAGACAGATCACTAGGTAGAGACACATCACTAGGTAGAGATAGGTCATTAGGTAGAGACAGGTCACTAGGTAGAGACAGGTCACTCTACGTAGAGACAGGTCACTAGGTAGAGACAAATCACTCTAGGTAGAGACAAATCACTCTAGGTAGAGACAGGTCACTCTAGGTAGAGACAAATCCCTCTAGGTAGAAACAGATCACTCTAGGTAGAGACAGATCACTCTAGGTAGAAACAGATCACTAGGTAGAGACAAATCACTAGTTAGAGATAGATCCCTAGTTAGGGACAGCGTCGTACGTGCTGAGCCACCACGGCTGCCTATTTCAGTCGTGCCGTACAACAAGTAGTACCTGTACATTGTAATATATACTTACATTTTGTAATTATTGCTATAGAATCTGTTTTAGATGTACCATAACCATTAGTAGCTGTACATAGTAGTATTTTATTATGATCCGATATATCGGCTGTATATTGTAATATACTGGTAGTAGTTCCATCAGAGTTATTACTTGTAGTTCCACTTCCTAGATTATTCCCGCCATTAATAGACCACGTGATAGTAGCATGAGGATATGATACACCAGTTGTACAGATGATATCGATGGTCTGGTTTACAATAATCTTTGCTATGGGGGTGAGTTGGATTTTAACAGAAGGTACTGGTTTTATTACTGCAATATACAATATAATATAACAGAGTATACACCTTGAACAAGCACTGGTCTGTCATTGAGTCAACTGGCGTGGTTTCAATTCCCCGGTTGTACGTGACAAGGAGTAGGGTCGCCTGTCCAACTCTTGGGTTTTCTCCGGGTTCTCCGGTTTCCTCCCACTGCTAAAGACCACTACGCGCAACCGAATTATTGAAATAAAATTGAACCATATGTTAGTCCCGAAATGACCTCGTTTGTGTCAAGTGGACGTTAAACCATATTTCTCTCTCTCTCTATCTCTCCCTCTCCCTCTCTCTCTCTCTTGATATACTCAACAGGAAGTATATTAACTCTAGTTTCATTTTCTTCTTAAAATGTCGATAGTTTGTGAACTGTTCGACCAAACTGTTCAATCTAAACAGAGGGGTGGTTTGACGACCCTGAGTTATCCTCCACCCCGTATTTGAGAAAGTTTATCGAGATTGTCCGGCGTTGCGCCCCCCCCCCCACCTACCCACCCCCTTGCTTGTCAGTGTCTTGGCAAGGGACAGATATGGCTGTTCGGGTTGGACGAAAAACCGAGGTCTCGTGTACACATTAGAGTAGAGTACACGTAAACGATCCCTTGGCAGTTGGAATTCGATATAAGAGTAGGCCGTAGCGCCGCTATCCGAACAAAATGTTCCCATAGCCTGCTGTTTGATGTATGCCCGTCTTCATTAATCTAGTCGAAACACTACAATCGGACGTTAAACCCCATTTCATTTTGTTTTGTAAACTAGTATTACCTTTAACATCAACGGTGATATTCTGTTGAGAACCAGCCAATGCTCCTGTACAAGTCCAATATCCACTATCTCTATCTTTAGATACATTAGCTATATTAACCGATACATTATTACCACTTTTATTCACTGTATAGTAGTTGGCGTAGTTATAGGCAGGTCTATTGACTTGGTCGGGAGTTATCGAACATTGTAAAGTCGGTTCAATAGGACATGTTGTTACTGGTACTGTTCTAGTTATGTAAACAATAATAGAATCACTACAAGTTATAGATGCTGGTTGACCTTGTATCCATACAGGTGGGTTTAATATAATACATCTTGCACCTGTAATTATAGATATAGATGGATCTTATACAGGGGTTCTATGGGGTCGCTGAGACTTTCAACTGGTTTGCTCAGTTGCTGTGGGGTAGCATTGAGTTTCAATGAGTAAGTTTCTTCTTCTGAAATGCTCGCAAAACGCGTTCCCGGCAGTCCATTTTTAGAATGCTCTTGTGTCGGGGTGGGGGGGCGCACTTTGGGAGGTGGGGGGCTTGTGAGTAGGCTGCTATTTTCAGACAGGCGCTTATGGTAATCCCTAGTTATTATTGCAACCCCCATGGTGTAATATGCATAAATTAAATGTTTTCTCCTATTATATGCGGGGTTGATTTTGTCCTTTTAAAGAGAGCCCCAACCCATTGTTCGTATAATGTGGTAAAAACTAACGTAGTTTCGATTCCCCGCTTGGACGTGACAAGGAGTGGGATCGTGGGTTTTCTCCGGTTTCCTTCCACTGCTAAGGATTGAGCCATATGTGTTAGTCCCGAAATGACCTAGTTTGTGTCGATTTGATGTATACTCTTTCTCTCTCTCTCTCTCTCTCTCTCTCTCTCTATCTATCTATCTCTCTCTCTCGCTGGCTCTATATACACTATTTATTTTCGTGTCACTAATTGATCAATGAGTAATATACGTTTACTTACATAAAACATCAAGTTGTACAGGTGTAGATAATCTACCTGTACCAACACTATTTCTACCTGTACAGGTATAACTTCCGCTATCTGATCTCTCAACTGATTCTATTCTATATATAGATGAACTTTGACCTGTTATAATGTTACCATCTTTACTCCATGTATAACCAGTAGATGGTACTGGTGGATCAGCTTCATCAACAGAACAGGTTAACATGAGTTGTGCCCCTTGTGTAACCTTATATGGACTGGTTGATGGTTCTAGATGTACCACTGGTCGAACTGGAACAGAAATATTGTAAAGGTGATTAATGTACTTATACAGACTGGTTGATTGTTCTATATACTGGATGATCTAGAATACTATTATTCTGATAACGGATGGTCTAGAATATAAATATTGTAAAGATGATTAATGTACTGATACAGACTGGTTGATTGATCTATATACTGGATGATCTAGAATCAAAATATAACATTGGTAATTATGGTGCTGTCTATATTCTGGTTGATATTTCTATATGGAATATAAATATAGTATTGGTAGTTATTATAATGAGTAATATAGTGGATATTATTGATAAAAGACGTTAATATTTAAATAAAAACTGATTAAAATACAGATCTATATTTCGTTTCGTTTCTTTATTTAATGGCCTTCACAACATGAAGATCTGACTGGTTGTAATGAGAACCGGTTTTGACCCTATAACTTCATCAACCAATCAGCGTTAATATTTCAAGTGGGTATTCGGGATATACAATTTTTTTTAGATTTGTTTTTTATCGCTAAAATATTTTTAAAATGCAACCTTGTCATTAGCCACCAGGGCCTAATACTTGTGCATTATTTTAGTGCCACGCCAATGACAAACCATAATTAAAAAAAATTCGGCGTAACTGTTCTTGAATACGACTCAAGGTATGTAACAAATTGAGAATATGTTTTAAGAAAACGTGTTATTTTGAGTTTTACCTTTAACATCGATAGTAATATTAGTTGTATTAATTCCAAGTCCTTCACAAGTCCAGACACCACTATCTCTAATTCTCGACACACTAGGTATATTAACAGACATACTAGTATTAGATTTACTGGCTGTATAGGTGTTGAATGCAAAAGTAATGGAGCATGGATGATTTGACAAATCAAGTCTACAAGATGCTACTTCTATACCAACTTTAAGTACTGACGTTCCACTAGTACCAGTACATGTAACTGATGCTGATTCACCTTGAATCCATGTAGATGGTTGTATATTTATACTTAGCACACCTGTAATTATAAATACAATTTATACCTAGCACACCTGTAAATACACATACAACCGACGGATTTAAAGACGAGAATCTGAATAAGACCGAAAGTGTACAAAAAAAGCAATTGTATAATTCCACAAATGTTGTCGTCGTCTTCAGAGAATCTTTACACTTACGTGTAGCTTCGAGATGACCCTAAATTGCCAAAAATGTTCATTGCCACTGTTGATACTTATTCCGAAAAGATCAGATCAGATCGCCAAGTTTACTGGTTAGCATACATGTGTTATGAGACGGAAGTACGCACATATATTGTTGACTGTCAAGAAGGGATGTTAAGTTCCGGGTAGATCAGTAGTGCCAGGGTCACGAGAGTGTGTAAACTATATATTGATGGAAAATTATTTGGAACACGTTATGAAGAGTAATCGCTCACATTATCATGATTTGGTATACCACAGGGATCTGTCTTAGGACCTATGTTTATGCACAGGGTTTAGTCGTGAAGATTAATCTTAACGGGATGATATAATATCATACATTGTACAACATCTAACTAACGTAAGTAAATCTAGACGAAAGGATTAATGTTAGGTTCCCACTATCACGAGTCGTGCTGCGATTGAAATCGTGGTTTTAATCGTGGAGTAATCGTGGTGGACCTGAAATGTCTTATCATATATTGAGGTCAGTAGTAGCAATCCTGTTGATCGTATCGAAACGTATCCGAACGTATCGTGGACTCAATAGAGACAATCATATCGTAACGCATCGCAATATGTGTTTACAACTTGATAAAACTTACCTTGTACCAAACACAGAAGACGAATAACACGGGACATGAGACACATAGACATTATTACTGTACAGTATGTTCACTTAGAAGACACGACCACAAAGAAACACACGACAGTCTTACTACACAGTCTCTTCATTGATAGATCTACACAGTTTAATAATAACATACATACTATTACCTATACTAGATCATTGATAGATTGACATAGTTTAACAATAACACACATATATATTACCTACACTAGATCATGGATGAATCGGATATATTACACTACAAACAGAGTTACTTTATAAATATTCTCATACTTAATCCATATATACAATAGATGATCAATATTGACGGCATGAAGACCACACCACAAGACAAACCTACGGACACCACACAATATACACAGCACAACTCAAACAACAAATGTAAGCATCTACTGTGGTGTGCAGTCCCAGGTCTGTTGTGATACTGGCTTCACTCAAAATGTAACATTAATAGACGCAATCCAAAATAGGGAGAATATTTCCTAAATCACACACGATCACTAAGTATTACAAATAATATTCTCTTAGTTAATTATTGTAACATTTACGATAATATTTAAAATATGTTACAAAATATAACACGGGTGTAATTTACTTCCTTCTTTCAACCTCTGACGTCATATCTTATATCTTCGATTGGCTTCAGTTCAGTTGATATCTACGTTCATTAATGTAATACTTTATGGTGGGATTTAGTGTAGACGGGGCTAGTATTCGATCAATCCTTTATTTCTAAAATAGGGTTTGATCAGTGATTCTCAGCCAGTGTGCTGCGAAATCTACCTAAGTGTGCCGCGAAATTTTGAACAGCACACTAATAAGAAAATGCGAAAAACCGCGTGATCCCAATTGCGTATTCACTGGTGTGCCTAGCTGTGTTTTTCTTTATTTAGTTTTGAGTTGTTCTATGTGTCTTGTCTGTGTCTACAGGTGTATGTCATCTTACTTATCATGTTTTTATTTTCTAAAATTCAAATACTTTTCATATATATTAAGCCAGGTGTGCCGCTATTTTTTCATGTGTTCCAAGGTGTGCCGTTGGCAAAAAATGGTTCAGAACCCCTGGGTTGGATAGACGGTTGGTCTCAGGCTTTCGCTGTTAATCATACGGCGAGTTTTCTATGCGAGCTCGCGTCTTCATTAGCCCAGTCGGAGCAGAACCCATTTCATTTCTATGCGAGCCAAGGTATTCCAATTTCTTCCACGTCCCGAAGGCCACATATTAGCCCCGAAAGGATCTAGTTAATCTTGAGTTAATCCCCCATAAAACAGTGTCTCGTCGTTCGGATGGGACGAAAAACCGAGGTCCCGTGTCCACATTGTCGGTACACGTAAAAGAACCCTTGGCAGATGGAATTCGATATAAGAGTAGACCGTTGTGCCGCTGTCCGGGCAAAATGTCCATAATAGCACACTGTATGGCGTATGTCAGCCTTGATTATCCCAGGCGGTGCAACATAGAGAAGTTAAACTCCATTTTATTCCATTTTTAAAACTATATAACACAATAGGGTCAAAGGGTAATTATTGAGACTCTGACATTGTCATTTCTCATATGTCTCGTTTTCTATGATTCGGGGAGGTCGGATGGCTGAATGGTGAGCGTGTGCACTCTGTATCATAAGGCCTGTCATTGAGTCAACTGGCGTGGTTTCAAGTTCCCGGTTGTACGTGACAAGGAGTTGGGTCGCCTGTCCAAACTCGTAGGTTTTCTCCGGGTCCTCCGGTTTCCTCCCACTTATAAAGACCCCTACGCGTAAGCGAATTATTGAAATAAAATTGAACCATGTGTTAGTTCCTAAATGACTAGTTTGTGTCGAGTGGACGTTAAACCCCATTTCCCTCTCTCTTTCTCTTTCTTTTGCTAGGATTCCTGTTTCTTAATACGTTTCCCGGGAATTAAATTTAATTTGATTTAATCAAGAAAGGATAACAAATCATGGCTTATACTTTTACTATATAGTTTAATATAGTTTAATAGCGTACATGAAGGTACATTAGAACATAATATACATAGTTAAATACACTAATAACATAATCAGCTAAACAATATATATAATACAACAAGCTAAACAATATATATAAATACAAAACAAATATCAATAACATATTATATAGTTCATAGTAAATGCTTTTAATAATAATAAGAATAATATTTAATAATGATAATATTATTATTATTATTATTATTATTATTAAATCATTATTGTATAAAACAAATATCAATAACATATTATATAGTTTATAGTAAATGCTTATATAATAATAACAATAATATTTAATAATATTATTATTATTAATATTATTATTATTAATATTATTATTATTATTAAATGCTTAAATGCAGAGATTCAGAGACTACGGTCAATAATTATACCCAAAAAGAAAATTATCTGAACGATTAAAGCGATTAAATGGAATAGTAAATTCATGTCACTTTCAGATGGTTTACTCTGTCAGGGATGTCTCCTAGAACTTATCCTCTAAAACACGTGATTATTCAATACATGCAACTTGGATTGGTGTAATCACGAGTTGTCTGTTGAATGCTGGGATATAAGGACACCCATATCCCAATGAACAGGGGCCTGTTTCACGAAATTTTAACTAAGATAAAATCCAAATTTTAGTAATTTGATTGGATAATATTAGATTGATTGTAGTGCTTAGCCAATTAAATTTGAAGTATCTACTAAAATTTGGATTTTATCTTTAGTTAAGATTTCGAGAAACAGAGCCCGGGCCTCATATCTTACAGGTTTTTACTAAATACAATTGCTGCCTCACAAACACAGGCCAGCGACGTTATAAGAATAGGACCAACTGCAATGGATTGAATTATACTTGGGCTATAATAAAAGTATTTAATAGCCGTGTTTTTTTTTTTACGACGGTGTCTGACAATAATTGACATGTTAAATTATCTCCCTTTAATTGACAGTCAATGGAAATACTCGATTGTCAGTCCGGAACGTTCCGAATTGACGGTACTGCAATCGTGTGACGCAGAATTCAGTCCTGTAACAGTTCTGCCAGTCCTGACAACTGGGGTGGTGTAAGAAGAATCGTGACGTAATTAAATACAACGAATATGTTTCACCTGTCATCGTTGGTGGAGATATTTTCTCATGTAATCTGCGCATGAGTTCTAGCCCAAATTGTCATTTTCACTCGATTGTCACTATTTTTGGATTTGAGGATTCCGGAACGTTGAATCGTAACGTAATAACAAAAACAGAATAACAGACAGTAAAAATGCAGAACACATAATTTAAGGAACTTAAAGGGCAATACAAATTTAACCAATATCGGGTGGTGCCCTGGCTGCTACTTTTACTCTTTTTTTTCGCTTCTACTGTCCTTGAGACAGACAGTTCTTTTTATGAATACTCAACTGATATAAATTAAATCATTACATGGCGAACCGTTCTAATCTAGTTAAAATCTCGGGCATCCGATGGCATCTAGAGTTGATTATGGTCTCTTGTCATGTTAATAAATGTCTAATTAATAATCTATATAACATTTAAAGCTTAAAGATACATTATGGGAGATTTTTATAGAGAGTTGGCCATTCTTGCTATAACAGTTCAAAAGTAGATGATGAAAGAAGAATATATTGAAAAATTCAGTCAAATTACTTTATTCTGAACATAGTTATCATCGTTGTAATATTTGCCTAGAAATGGTAGCGAAATGTGTCTTCACCTTCGCCGATCGTTTGATTGACAGGCGTTAACTCCACCTACATATCTCGATTATCAATTAAAGTTTTCAATGGCATACGGAAACGCTTTACAGCGGCCTCGCTAAGTACACTCTATCATTTAGCCTCGATCTAACTGACGTATTTTCATCAGGTTACCCCTTATTTGATTTAATCAATTAGTGAAATCCTATTTAAATCCTAGCTGTAGCCGAGCCATCCGTGGGGCTACAGAGTTGATTTTGGTCTTGTTGTTTAAATAAAGATCTAATTTATAATTTCTATAACATCTGAAGCCTAAATTAAGTCTTGCAATAATCAGATTTAGCTCTTGCATAATGCATGTTTAAAGAAAGACCTGTAATAAGCAGATTTAGCTCTTGCATAATGTATGTTTAATTGTCTTTTAATCATCTACTATATTGATTATGACCTGTGTGTAGAGGCTATTATTTAATATAGTAGTGTCTCTAATTTGATATAGGCTAAGACAGAATCAAGGGGGTTTTTTTTACAGACGAAATTACAGCAGTTACTTCCCTTGTATTAAAATGGCGCGCATGATCTCAAGTACCCGTATTTTGATACCGGGTTATCAATTTTCAACAATTTATTCAGATCAAATAGTACATTTAAATTTTAATAACCTAAAGATGGTTCAAATAATAGAAGAAAGGCAAATATACTCGGCTATAATACGTACATGTTGTTAAATTACGTTCGGTGTACCTTTATTATTATGCAAATACGGAGGGTAGGGGGTGCCTTGAGTAGAATCATAATCCATAATCGTGACTTATATTACTGGGTAATTTAGTCTATAAAATTGTACAGGATTAAATTAAATTATAAAATCGGATGAATTTATCGAATTGAATTAGAAGTAAAATAGTTACGTGTTTAATTTAATGATATAAAACCACGTGGATGATTAACGATCAAACTTAAAGATCTCTACATATGGGCATCTTTGTCTACTTTCATTTTGTTTAACTGTTGCACTATTTCATCTTTAATGGCGGCATCTTTAACCTCGTTCTCTACATCCGATAATTTGACATGATGGACAGCCCGGAAGCCTTGTAATAATTCTTCTGTTTCTTTACGACCTGGTAGACGGCCGTCTACAACTGGTCCTATAATGATAATGATAATAATAATAATAATAATAATAATAAAACAGAATATTAATGAGGCGGATATTTAAATACTGGGTGAGGTAGTGTTGCGTCAGGGGCATCTAGAAATACTGGGTGAGGTAGTGTTGCGTCAGGGGCATCTAGAAATACTGGGTGAGGTAGTGTTGCGTCAGGGGCATCTAGAAATACTGGGTGAGGTAGTGTTGCGTCAGGGGCATCTAGAAAGTAAGATTAGTTTCCTTCCTGTGAGGCGAAGTTACAACCAATAAACCACGGTGCCGGTGCTGAACATGCCTTAGTCAAAGTGTATGAAAGATACAAACAGCTCTGTCCTGACGGAAAATCTTCTCAGGGCGAATTGTAATCCGACAATTAAGACATAGGAGCTTTTCTTATGTAGTCGAAGAATTGGTAGCTGTAAATAAATTTCATTAAGATGATTCCACCTGACCTTTACTAAAACCTTTGCCCATGTAAATTCTACTTTATAGATATTCAAATGGGTAGGGGATGGAAGCCCAACGATAAAAGTAAGGGTTTCATTTACCTGGAACACCCATTTCTTTCCCTTTAAAACATGGTGCGCCCGTACACACCCAGTTGCCACACGCGCACACACTGAAATATAACAATAAATATATCATATACATACATGTAAAAAGTTGATACAAGAAGAGAAAAGGCAAAACTCCCTTGATGGAGTAACTATAGATGGACAGGTTGGTAAAGCTGCGTGGGTACTGGATCAGGAAGGTGATACCGGCGGGACCAGCGAGCAATAGATTAAACTTAGGAAACCCCGCACAACAGACTTGGTGTATTTGAATCAGGAAGATGATACCGGCGGGAGCAGAAGAGAGCAATACAATTAAATTTAGGAATCCCCACACAATAGCAGCACAACAGACTTGGTATATTTGAAAAAAGGGTATTACAGGTTAGGGATTCCTAAATTTAATACATGTAATAATTATAAGGGATTCGTGGTGACTCAAAGGAGCAGGCGCTGGCTCACAAATCCGGGAGATCCGGTGTTCGGTGTTGGCTGAGATTGTCCCCCGGGATTGTCCAGTGTGATTTCACCTTGTCAGTGGTGCAGGCTGGAGGGCCTGGCAAGGACAGCGTCTAGTCGTTCGGGTGGGATAAAAAAAAACGAAGTCCTGTGTTCACATTAGCGTTTGTGTTAAAGAAAATTTGACAGTTGAAATTCGAAAAAATTGTACTCCGCAGCGCCACTGCCGGGGCTTTCCTTCATAGTTCTACACTGTATGGTGTACGTCCGAGTTCATTAGCCCAGTCGGTGCAGAAACGTAGATCCTTAAAACCATTCCAGTTCAATAATAGGGTCATCACCGAGTTTGTTTCCACATAATCCAGGAATCTCTAACTTAATTTTATATTAGAAGAATAAATTCCTCAAAATTCTAAACAGATGATGTGTATCTCTAGGCAACATCGTGATTCGTTAAGAATCGACCATAAAAACAGAATATCAAAGGACATTAATCTATCCTTTTTTATTACTTACTTATCTCTTCATGATAAAAAATAATTTCCAGCCTTTTACAAATGTAGAATTCAGGCTATAAGATATTTTACCCACGTTTAATTAGACGGTATGGGATTTATCGGGTATTAAGATCTTTAGTGAATAGTTGTAATTAGACGCTTTGATGATAACCTAAGATGTAATCGTACGTCAGTCAGTCTTCATTAGACCAGTCATTGAAGATAAAGTGGAAGAGTCCCATTACATTTCATTTTTATAGTCAGCATAGCACAAAACTTTTATTACAGAGCGAGAGAGGTGAGAGGTAAGGTCTACTCGACGACACAAACTAGGTCATATCGGGACTAACACATGGCGCAAGTGTATTTCAATAAATCGCTTGCGCGTAGGGGTCTTTAGCAGTGGTGGGGGGGGGGGTAAATCGGAGAACCCGGAAAAAACCCACGAGGTTGGACAGGCGATCCTATTCCTTGTCACGTACAACCGGTGGACTCATGATCAATGACAGACCGTATGATACAGCGCGCACGTGCTAACCATTCGCCTCCCCCAGAGAGAGAGAGAGAGAGAGATGGGGGAGGGGGTATAATGTCCACTCGACACCAAAAAACACTTTTAATACTGAGGAACTCAAATATTTACTTTTTTCCAAATGGTTGATGTCAATCAGTAATTAAGGCAGTTTTGGTCTTTAACGAAACTTCTCAGCATAAGAAGTATTGAATTGGACAATTTCTATCAGTAATCCGTCTGAAATCAACATCATCTGCTTCAACTCAACTGTTTATTGATTAACTTCTAGATAACCAGGGAAAATATTGACTTCAAACAAAACGCCACAGACAAATGATCATCACATTTCAGTAAATGTAACTTATTAACCCTTGTTAAATGAAATAAAAATGAAAGTAGTCTAACAAGTCTACGCCGCCAAGGTTTGTCCCCCTCGGCGTTAATCCAAAAATAAATAGATGACATGCATTCATTACTTGTACATTTATTTTTTTATAAAGCATTAACAAATCAAACTGTACACGATCCTATTTATCGAAATTAGTCATGGTATTGATGTAATGAAACTATGCACCAGGTTTCACCACTCTCCCGAAAATATAAACAAAGTCGTGGTGTTTCGAAGATTCAGCGGAAAAGATCAACATTTAAATCTAACCAATCTGTTTAAAACACAGATACTATTTCGTTTCGGTTTTTTTTATGGGTCATGCGGTTGATGTGAGGGATTAGCCAATGAAACGGTCTGTTACGGCGAGTTCTTGGCGTTAGGTGCACGGAACCGTGGGTGTCCCACTAGAAACATCAACGATGATTGGTAAATCAAATGTCTGACACCAGAGGGTCAAAAGCCGCTTATATGACCACAGACACGAACTCAAACTACAGCCGGTCAGATCTTCATGTATTGCAAGCCATCGAATGTATAAAAAAAAAACGAAACGAAATATAGATGTGTATTTTAATCAGATTGAAATCTAACCTACCAAACATTACAATCTAACTTAGTTTGGGCACCATCACTGTATGTTTTATCTTCTAGTGAACATTCTGTGAACAAAACAAAATGTTTTTATTAAACTTTATTACAAAATACAAATATAGTAATACGATATCTGTGAATCACAGTAATGTTTCAATGAAGCTATTTGGCGCAATATAGCCTGGTAAGGCTGGCGTGCCATTAAACAAAATTTCATTAAGCCATTCAATGGAGCCAGGTAACTGGTATTACAAAAGTTTCAGCTGAACCCGGTAACTAACTGGTATTAAAAAACGAGATTGTTCTTATTTTATTCGATTTAGTTGTCTTCTAATGATACTCGACTCTTTATGGCGGGAGACACGGGGTGAGGGGGGGGGGGGCTAACGAGAAACAGTGCTCAGTCGATTGGATGGGACGAAAAACAGAGGTCTTGTACACACACGTGGACGTAACAAATACTTGGCAGCTGTAATTCAAAATAAGAGTAGATCAAATCGCCAATATCCGGGCATTTCCATCACACTGCCCGTTTTAATTAGCCCGGTCAGTACAGAAAAGTAGGACGTTAAACCTTATTTCAATCCATTTTCAACTTCATGAGACCCAGGCCCTGTTTCTCGAAATCTTAACTAATGATAAAATCCAAATTTTAGTAGATACTTCAAGCACTAAAATCAATTTAATATTATCCAATCAAATTACTAAAATTTGGATTTTATCCTAGTTAAAATTTCGTGAAAGAGGCCCCTGCTGCGTAGCTAGAGCTCACGTTACATAATAAATATTCCGACCACTGGTGTCTTTGTTGTCCTTTTTTTAGACGTTTCTGATTAAAGGTGTTGGTAGGGGGTGGGGGTGGATGGCCGAATGGTTAGCACATGCGCGCTGTATCATAAGGCCTCTCATTGAGTCAACTGTCGTGATTTCGATTCCTCAGTTGTACGTGACAAGGAGTAGGATCGCCTGTTCAACCTCGTGGGTTTTCTCTGGGTCGTCCGGTTTCCTCCCACTGCTAAAGACCCCTACGCGCAAGCGAATTGTTGAAATAAAATTAAACCATATGTTAGTCCCGAAATGACCTAGTCTGGGTCGAGTGGACGTTAAACCCCATCTCTCTCTCTCTCTCTCTTAATCATAATCCCCCAACCACCTAGCAATGTATGGTAGGCCATGACTCGGATACACGTCAAATAGATCCTACGATGTGCCACAGAACCGAATGCCCCCCACCCACACCTCTCGCATTATTGACCAGTGTACGCTTCCATACCCCACCCCAGCCACTAAAACAAAAATAAATAAACCCCAACAACAGAGAGAGAGAGAGAGATAGAGAGGGGGTTAACGTCCACTCGACACAAACTAGGTCATTTCGGGATTAACATATGGTTTAAGTTTATTTCAATAATTCGCTTGCGCGTAGGGTTCTTTAGCAGTGGGAGGAAACCGGAGGACCCGGAGAAAACCCACGAGGTTGGAGAGGCGACCCTTCTCCTTGTCACGTACAACCGGGGATTCGAAACCACGCCAGTTGACTCAATGACAGGTCTTATGATAAAGCACGCACGTGCTAACCATTTGGCCATCCAACCCCCCCGGGGAAACTGAAGGAAAACCTTGCGGCTGAACAGGTGACAGACCCTACGCCTTGCCACGTAGAAGAACAAGCGTGGGATCGAACCGATTTTAATTTGAAAATAAAAACGTCTGACCAGTAAATGTAACCTACCTCCTGTTGGTAGGGTAAAATGTAAACTACCTCCTGTTGGTAGGGTAAAATGTAACCTACCTCCTGTTGGTGGGGTAAAATGTAACCTACCTCCTGTTGGTGGGGTAAAATGTAACCTACCTCCTGTTGGTGGGGTAAAATGTAACCTACCTCCTGTTGGTGGGGTAAAATGTAACCTACCTCCTGTTGGTGGGGTAAAATGTAACCTACCTCCTGTTGGTAGGGTAAAATGTAACCTACCTCCTGCTGGTGGGGTAAAATGAAGACCAAAAACAGTTGCAAATTCGTCTCTATTTAATAACCAATCATTGTTGTCATCACCCATATTAATTAAAGCATCCATACACAGCCCTCTACAAATATAAATACCATGATATTAGGTACATAGTCTCCTCTAATCATATAAACACTATATAGTTCATCAAAATTTTCTGGCGTGGTTTCCCCTTGTCAGTGGTGCAGGACGGAGGGCCTGACAAAGACAACTTTCTAGTCTTTCGGATGGCACGAAAAACCGAAAGATCCCTTGGCAGTTGGAATTCGATATAAAAGTAGGCCTTAGCGCCGCTTTCTGGGAAAAATTTCTCTCATAGCACACTGCATGGCGTATGTCCGTCTTCATTAGCCCGGTAGGAGCAGAACAGTAGGACGTTAAACCCTATTTTATTTCATTTTTTCTATTTACCTAGTAAGTATAGTACCATGTATAGGGTAGATAAATATGGAAGACCAAACAGCTTTTTATTCAGTGTTCTTAATTAGTTCTTAGTTCTTAATTAGTTCATAGTTCTTAATTCATAGTCCTTAATTCCTATTTCTTCATTTGTTGTCGTATTTCGACATTTGTACACTAAAATTAACATTTGTATCTTAAAATCAATATTTGTTTTACAAATCAGACATTTTGTCATATCAGATTACATAAATTCAACAAACGATTTAAAACACGTTTAGTACCTGTGAGTACCCTGACCCAACTCAAACACAGAAGCATGGTTATATTGATAGTTATTAACCAGTTACAATTGTTAAATGAAAAAATACCGTAAAATATCTTTTGTCGAGACAACTAGTCTCTTCTCTGATAAATCAATGATATACTCCATCCCTCGTTCAAAACAAGTATGATCGTACTATAGACAAGGAACTGGCCATGTTGTGGGATGAAATTTAAAAGTCTAATTCACCACAACGGTGCAGAAATCTGCAAAGCAGAAACATGTCATGTCATGTCGATCGAACTCGAATTGACGGAGCATTAGGCTTTTTTTCGACAAGCGTCACCTCGAGATGAGAAAGAGAGAGAGAGACGTGGTTTAACGTCCGCGTAGGGGACTTTAGCTGTGGAAGGAAACCGGAGGACCCGGAGAAAACCCACGTGGTTGGACAGGCGACCCTACTCCTTGTCACGTACAACCGGGGAATCGAAACCACGCCAGTTGACTCAATGACCGACCGTATGATACAGCGTGCACACGCTAACCATTCGACCATCCAACCCCTCTACCTCAAGAAGAAGAAAAAGCAAGATGGGTAGCCGTTACCGACCAGTTCCTGGTCCCAAAACGAAACCAAACCCAATATTATTAATGTGTTTCTTGTGACATTGTAATGTGCGTCTATATGGAACCACCTGCATGTAATTACAGGACGATTATTGTTATTAATCACCTGAGTATATGAAGACTTGTGTCCGTTTCTTTTTCATCTTTTTCAGTACATTTTAACATTTCGTCACCATCCAGATTACCGTCCTTGTCCTCATCACATTTTGTAAACGTTTCTACAACAACATCACTGTATGGTTTACCTGTAACATAAACATCAACAACATTACTGTATGGTTTACCTATAATATAAACATTAACAACAACATCATCACTGTATGGTTTACCTGTAATATAAACATCAACAACAACATCACTGTATGGTTTACCTATAATATAAACATCAACAACAACATCATTGTGTGGTTTACCTATAATATAAACATCAACAACAACATCATTGTGTGGTTTACCTGTAATATAAACATCAACAACAACATCACTGTGTGGTTTACCTGTAATATAAACACCCGTCTACATTATCCTGATTGGTGTAGACAGATATGGCGTTAACTCAGTCTTATTTTAAATCAAGGTTACATCAAAATGTGCAAATTTGTGAACTCCGAATTAATGAGAGGTAGTATATTTCTTTTAGGAAGATAAATATACTCCTTGTCGTGCAGGACACACGCCATTGCTCCCCAGAACAACAGGTATATTAAACTATGTACCAAATAACGTGAAATTTACTAGGTATATTTAACCAGGTGCGTTGTTAAGGTATATTGGTCCTGGTACCAGGTGTGTGCATTCTAATAAAGGTTTGGTACAAGATAAATGCCGTCGATCTCATCAGTGTAATTTTGGCAAATAAATTAAACTCGACTTCGATCTCATCAGTGTAATTTTGGCAAATAAATTAAACTCGACTTCTTAACAGTATAGGTGTTTTAAGAAAGGGTGCCAAACTTACCTGAGGCAACCTTTGTTTTCAGCCAATCTACAAGAAGTTGTCGTAATTCATCTCTTTGTATCTGATAACAGACCAATGGTCGTCTACTACCAGCTGATTTCTTCTCTATCTCTTTCTCTACTTCATTAAATTCAACTATAATACAAATATATCAACGTATGTGATTGGTCTAAACATAACCAGGTATTAATTCTGGCCAATCAAATACAACAACAGGTAAGACAAGGTAATGTGTTGGAAATTCGAAAAGGGAAATTGAAAGTAAATAAATGGAAATTAACATTAAATATCAAATAAAATATAAACTACATTTACTACTTTAAATCAAGGTAAAATTTACTCAAATAATAACAAGAGAAAACAGTATACATGTAAAAAAGACATAAGAATATAGAATTTAAAAGATGGCGGCGTTCAAATGGCTTTATCAATGCTCCCTTGTAACAATTTCTCATAACCACAAGATCACATCCGACATCTTGTTTGTGAATTTGTTTCATTAATACCAGGACGCCGTTGCACACAACAGACCCAGTGTCCATTAAATAAAGCTAAAGATATCACGAATCGAAGATAGCGTTGCCTGTTTTAACACGTACAATTTTATGGATACACATTTGCAACATTTCGACAAGGATACTCTCGTTTCCATCAAGAAAGGTTATCAAAACTCAAGCTTTCGAGGGCCCTGATCATACGATGATCTGACCGGATGTAGTGGGGGTTGCATCAGGGATTATACGAGCGGCTTTTGACCCAATGACGCAGACATTTGATTAACCAATCAGCGTTGATGTTTCTAGTGGTTACCCAATTACTCACCGTAACAGACCGTTTCATTGGCTAATCCGTCGCAACAAAGAGAAGGCGGGTTATATAACAACTCTTTCAGATCCAAGTGTAGTAAAGACAAGTAAAACAAAATTTAGAACTATAAAAAACGAAACGAAATAGGATCTGTGTTTGAATCTGATTGATCAAAACGGTGCAAAGTAATAAATCCAGTAATTGTGTATCCATAAATTGAAATTGTGTTTAACTTCCTACTGTTCTGCTCCGACTGGGCTAATGAAGACGGGCATACGCCATACAGTGTGCTATGAGGGCAATTTTGCCCGGACAGTGGCACTACTCTAAATTCGAATTCCAACTGTCAAGGGATCTTTTACGTGTACACCAATGTGTACACGGGACCTCAGTTTCTCGCCCCCATCTAAACTAGACAGCTGTCCTTGTCAGGCCTTCCGTTCTGTTTCATTAACAAGGAGGAACCACGGCGAAAAATCTGGATGAACTTTCTCGGCCAATGCCGGGATCGAACACCCGACCTCCAGTCTAGCGAGCCAGCGTCTTACCCACTTAGCCACCGTGTAACCATAAAATTGTATCTTGTATTAATATGTTTATTTACTAAATGCCAATCAAAGAAGGCATTTTCGTTTTCAGCAAACCGACTTGCATTGATAAAAACACTTGAGCTCGAAGCAAACTAAAATAGGAAGTAAAAAAATAAAAGAAAATATTCGTACTGAGACAGGGTCCGGTGTGTAAAACAGACATGTGTTTATTATCTAGACATGCTGATCTGTGAAGATGACAATAATTGGTGTATGTGTTACCATCTGAACCACAGACAAGGTATTGTTTAGATTTACACCTCTTTCTACAGATACAAGTCTTCTCGCCATCATACCTAGTTACACAACGTCTACCTGATTTACATCGTTCATTACCACATTGACGAGCTACATCAAAATATACAGGGATGAAATAAAAACATAAAATACATTAACATCTATCTAAAAATAAACAAAAAATATGAAAAGCATTTTCTTTCAGGAGGATGAAATAAAATATAAATCTCAAAATAAAAAAATAAAAAAAGCATTGTGCTAATGAGGGAAATTTTTCCCGGGCAGCGGCGCTACGGCTTACTCTTATATCGAATTCCAAATGTCAAGGGTTCTTTGTGTGTACGCCAATGTGTACACGGGACCTCGGTTTGTCGTCCCATCCGAAAGACTATACGTTGTAACTTGCCAGGCCCTATGTCCTATACCACTGTCAAGAGGGAACCACCTCGGATAACCCAGATGAACTTCCGGCGGGATCGAAAACGGGTTCCCAGGATGACAAGCCAACGTCTTATTCACCGAGCCATCGCGGCTCCATTATCTTTCGAATTGCCCTGGTGGAAAGATAGAATAATATAAAACCATTATCTACATAAATAAAATAACAGCTAAATGGATTTGACACAAACAGGGTGTTGAAACAAAGACAATTAAAACATACAATTTTACAAATAAAAAATCTATCTAATTAAAATTCAACTAGCTAGCAAATGTTCACCATTAAATTACATTATCGCCCTCAAAACAACAGCTGTTGTAGACGACTGATTAGAAGACTAGGATAACATTTAACTTATCTTACCCACGATCGATTTAATTGGTGGGGATGAGGGGGTAGGGTGTGCGCGTAATATCATAGGGTCTGTCATTAAGTCAACTGTTGTGGCTTCGATTCCGCGGTTGTATGTTATAAGGGGGGTTGGATCGTTAGTGCTTGAGCGATGTATCATAAGGTCTTTCATTGGGTGAACTGGCGTGGTTTCAATTCGCCGGTTGTACGTAACAACCTCATGGGTTTTCTCCGGGTCCTCCAGTTTCCTCCCACTGCTAAAAGCCCCCTGCATGCAAGCGAATTATTGAAATAAAATTGAAACATGTATTAGTCCCGAAATGACCCGACTTGAGTTGAGTGGACGCATTAAATCTCTCTCTCTCTCGCTCTCTCGCTCTCTCTCTCTCTAATTGATGTTTATTAATATTGACTCTCTCTCTCTCTCTCTAATTGATGTTTATTAATATTGACTCTCTCTTTCGCTCTCTCTCTCTCTAATTGATGTTTATTAATATTGACTCTCTCTCTCTCTCTCTAATTGATGTTTATTAATATTGACTCTCTCTCTCTCTCTCTCTCTCTCTCTCTCTCTCTAATTGATGTTTATTAATATTGACTCTCTCTCTCTCTCTCTCTCTCTAATTGATGTTTATTAATATTGACTCTCTCTCTCTCTCCCTCTCTCTCTCTCTCTCTCTCTAATTGATGTACATATTATGTATGTACATTTTATATGTATGTATGTGTGCATTGGTGGATAAACTGGTTAAGCAAAAAAAAAAGGTTTATCATTGGCGACTCTAGAAAGTAGTTGGTTAGATCTCAAAGTCGATTTTTAGGTGTTTGTGGTGTGTGCAATCATTTCGAAGGGAACTTCGCAATATCGAGGAACACTTCTTGTGGGCCTTTACAAAGGACGCCGCTAACGCTAATTGAATTTATTTCATGCTTATTCCACTATTGATAGGCAGTATTATCCGCTTTGATTTCACTACAATTCAGGTAATTCAGCATATGCACGTACAAATAAATACACTCAATTCAATAATAGATCGCCTGCTATATTTACACATCAATTGGTACATTAATCGATCAAAATCGATCTGATAAAAAAAATAAACATAATTACACTAAAATCTACTTTATACTGTTTGTATTGTATTCGATTTTTTTATTGTTAATTCCACGCTAACGTGTAATCAATATGCCTAGTCAGCATTCCTTCAAGAGGCAGACTCTTTTCTATTTATCTGACATTTCTTTCTTGACTTAGTTGTAATTTACAGGTCTTGGTGACATCGACTACATGACATTGGTAGTACTCTACTTATAGACATTGACTACATGACGTTAGTAGTCTCTACTTGTAGACGTCTAGGTGACATTGACTACATGACATTGGTAGTACTGTACTTACATACGTCTTATAGACATCGACTACATGACGTTAGTAGTACTTACTTATAGACGTCTTGGTGACATTGACTACAGGACGTTAGTAGTACTGTACTTACATACGTCTTAATGACATCGACTACATGCCGTAAGTAGTACTCTACTTATAGACGTCTTGGTGACATTGACTACAGGACGTTAGTAGTACTGTACTTACATACGTATTTATGAAACCGACTACATGACATAATATAGTTCCCAGTTGGGGTGTGGTCGGGGAACGTACGGCCAGGTGAAAACCCACGAGGTTAGACAGGCGACCATATGCTGGGTATCGAACCCACGCCAGTTGATTCAATGGCAGACATCATGATCTATTTTATAAAGCGCAAGCATATGACCATTTGTAACCCATCACCGCCACCACGAAGAGAGAGAGAGAAATGGGGTTTAACGTCCACTCGACACAAACTAGGTCATTTCGGGACTAACATATGGGTTAATTTTATTTACATAATTCGCTTGCGCGTAGGGGTCTTTAGCAGTGGGAGGAAACCGGAGGACCCGGAGAAAACCCATGAGGTTAGACAGGCCACGCCAGTCGACTCAATGACAGACTTTATGATACAGCGCGCGCACGGTAACCATTCAGCCATCCAACCCCCCGCCACCACGAAGAACATTACATGTGTTTCCCATCAAATAAATAGCACAGGTCCCTTTAAGCGTTTGACATGAGATTGACATGATTGAATCTGGGTGGATATTGTAATTAAGTAGAGCTTCATCGATTATATTATAACATGACTTGTGTTAATTGCACATAAAATAAACATGGATTACCCCGCCAACAATACACGTGATATTACTGTATCGTTACTCTATTGTTCATGATATTCATCCCGTAGAAATTTCTAGTTTATACCGTATGAGAGCCACGGCGGCTCAGTGAGTAAGATGTTGTATCGCTAACTTGGAGGTCCCGGGTTCGATCCCGGTGTCGAGAAAGTTCATCAGGATTTTCCGGCGTGGTGGATGACATAGGGCCTGGAAAGGGACAGCGTATAGTCGTTCGGATTATACGTAAAACCGTGTATACATTTACATGCACGTAAAGGATCCCTTGTCAGTTGGAATTCGAAATAAGTGTAGGTCTAGTGCCGCTGTCCGGGCAAAATTTCCTTCATAGCACATTGTATGCCCGACTGCATTGCAACAGTCAAGGGATCTTTAACACACGCGCCAATGTGTACACGAGAACTCGGATTTTCGTCCCATCCGAACGACTATACGGTGTCCCTTGCCAGACCCTCTGTCCTACACCACTGATAAGGGGGGGGGGGCACGCCAGAAAATATCGATGAACTTTCTCGGTCAACCAAACGATCGAACACGGGAGACCAGGTTAGCGAGCCAAGGCCCTACTCACTGAGTCACCGTGGTTCCGTTTGATCAATATAAATTCACCTGAATCACATCAAAAAGATGTTTTGTTAAAATTTGGAACTGTAAGCTTTTGAACATTCAAACCGAGGACTTTTTGATTTCAAATTAGTCTTTTTACCAAAATTTCAAAAGTTTTTCCGAAGAACAGAAAATCAAATTATTCTGGCCTGTGTAGAGGACTGATTAAACAGATTGCGTATTTTGTTCATCATTGTCGAGTTATTCCTTTCATACTTGGATTGTTTTACAGTCGACAGTGTTGTACCGTGGATATATCTGCCATGTCATCTAAATTTATTGTATTCAAAGTTTTCAGAACAACAAAGAATATTGATTGACTCTTTGTCGGGTTCGTTTTAATATCTCTTATCTTTGAAATAAAATAAATATTTTATCGATCCAAAAACGTCCGTAAATACAAAACGAGACAACTTAGTACATGGACTTCATCAGAGAAACTGACAGAGTTGAATCGGGTGTTTAGAACTGTGTACAAAAGTATACCATTGTTAGCTGCGTGAGTTCTTCAAATGAGAGGTGGTGTATGCATTCACCGCCCTGTACCGTTCGACAATCTCAGTACTCGTACCGATGTACAACATATACGGCTAAGGTCTTGGTCACGGTTTCATCATTAAATTTAATTAAATATTATTTTATTTAATTAGAATGTACTTTATCTTATCTAATTAAAGTGTACTATATTCTATCTAATTAGATTGTGCTATATTTTATTTAATTAGACTGTACTATATTCTATTTAATTAGATTGTACTATATTCTATTTAATTAGATTGTATTATATCCTATTTAATTAGATTGTACTATATTCTATTTAATTAGATTGTGCTATATTTTATTTAATTAGACTTTACTATATTTTATTTAATCAGACTATACTATACTGTATTTTATTAGATTGTAGTATTCTATCTAATTAGATTGTACTATATTCTATTTAATTAAATTGTACTATATTCTAGTTAATTAGATTGTACTATATTCTATTTAATTAGATTGTACTATATTTTATTTAATTAGATTGTATTATTATTTTATTTAATTAGATTGTACTATATTCTATTTAATTAAATTGTACTATATTATATTTAATTAGATTGTACTATATTCTATTTAATTAGATTGTACTATATTCTATTTAATTAAATTGTACTATATTATATTTAATTAGATTGTACTATATTCTATTTAATTAGATTGTACTATACTCTATCTAATTAGATTGCATTATATTCTATTTAATTAGATTTTACTAGTAGTAGATAAGATAAAATAAGATGTTTAATGCATCAAAATATCCATTAAGGACAGCATGTATACATATACACTAAAGACATGGTCATATACATTTAATAATACATAGACAACACATACATACACAAATAATACATTACAAACAGTATATAGTATTTACATGTATAGAGGTTCAATTACATGTTGTTGCCACGAAATTTGATTTAGAATTAGATCTTTTATCAAAAACACGTAAAGCCACTGCCTTGTCTATTGATTTTGGCAGGTCAAACAGATTAATAAAAATGTAGGAAATCTGATGATTTACTGAGAAGGCTGGGTATAAATGGGCTTTACGTATTTCTTCATACTTGCTACAGTTTAGCAAAAAATATTGCTCGTTTTCGATCAAGTTTAAGTATTATGACGTTCTGTTATCCCATTTAGATAATTTACTTTAACAATCCTGTTGTTTCGACTATTAATCTTTTTTTTATTTTATGAAATGATTTCAATGGAGACTTAAATCGAAATTTATTCCACATTTTATGAGACAAGGCAGGACTTTTGACTCGAAATTGTTTTAATAAATCGGATCGGGAAAGATTTCTATGAAACCCGCTGATATAAATTGGTTTGTAATTGGTATGTCGATTGTTCTTTATTGTAATCAAAGAAAGAAAATATTATGGATTTGTGTCTGTACACAGTATACGATGAGATTATAGAGATGAACATAGAATGTGTGTTAAAAAGTTGATCCACATGCATGAAATATCAATATTATTTAAAATATATAATCAGAGCGGATGGTTGAATGCCTCCGTTTGAGATCCTACGCCTCATCACGTACAAGCGAGGAATGGAAACCACGCCACTTGAATCAATGACAGAATTTCTGATTCAACGCGCACGCGTTAACCATTCGGCCATCCAATCCCGCTCTACCATTGAAGAGAAGTTAAGCTATATATCTTTGACAACCACGTAAATTTACAGTAACATGTTTAACAGTGTTTGATATAACATGAAATTGATACAGTAGCTATATTACCCTTGTGATAAATGCGACTTTAATGTCTCGCAGAGAAAATTGTTATATCGCTGTTAGATAAATCTTTATCTGCATGTATATTCTATAATAACCTTGCCAGTAATTTCAAGTCATACCCCAAAAAACGACGAAAAACCCATTAACGTTAAATATCAACAGAGATTTAATCTATATTTCTATGGTTCCATTAAACGTAGAAAATATGCTTTCATCAGCCGCGAGACATAATATACGCACTAGCATGTGTCCACGAAGGCGAATTGCAAAGTTGAAATTAAATGGCTTAAAGTCCTACTTTTCCGCACTGACTGGGTTAATGAAATGAAATGGGGTTTAACGTCCTACTGTTTTGCTCCTAAACTGGGCTAATGAAGACGGGCATACGCCATACAGTGTGCTATGAGGGAAATTTTGCCCGGACAGCGGCACTACGGCCTACTCTTATATCGAATTTCAACTGCCAAGGGATATTTTACGTGCACGGGACCTCGGTTTGTCGTCCCATCCGAACGACTAGACAGCTTTCCTTGTCAGCCCCATCCGTCCTGCATCACTGACAAGGGAGAACCACGTCGGAAAATCTGGATGAACTTTCTCGGCCAATGCAGGGATCGAACACCCGACCTCCAGGCTAGCGAGCCAGCGTCTTGCCCACTTAGCCACGTGATCCCCCGACTGGGTTAATGAAGACGGGCATATATCTTACAGGGTGCTATTAGGGGAATTTTGCCCGAACAGCGACGCTGCGGGCTATTCGTTTTTCGAATTCCAACTGTCAAGGGTTCTTTTACGTGCACGTCATGTGTACACCGGATCTCAGTTTTTGTCTCATCCGAACGACTAGACACTGTTTCTCTTGCAAGGCCCCCGTCCTGCACTAAAGGGGAAAACGCATCAGGAAAAACACGAAGAATTTTCTCTGCCAACACAGGGAGCGAACCTGAGACCGCCTGGATAAGGAGCCAGCGTCTTACTCACTGAACCATCGCGGCTCCAATTGATGACCGCTTAGACGAAGAAGTAGTGATAATAATGTTAATCCATACAGTTTGGTCATTTGTGGAATTTAGAATCCATTGCAAACTATTGTAAAAATTGGATCTCTAAAATATCAGGCCAAAAATGGTTCAATTCTGTTCAGCATTAGACAGATATGATCAATTGAAAATACCCCAAAATTTGACATCGTCTACAGGCGCTATAAACAAGACAGCATTGAGTACAGTATTTTGACAGGCATCATTGAGGTGGAATTGAACCCAAGATATTTTGATTTTGTTGTCTTACTTAAAAAGTTAAATAATCACTTTGAGTCAATTTTATCGTGGATAATGTTGTTAAAATTAAAATATTGTCCGATATATGCTAATGGCGATCGGCGACTCCGAAGTTTATTTCATAAAGTAACCAATAAAGATAATATTTCCATATGCCATCTCGTGCGGCTCATTTAACACCAGAATTACGTTAAAGTAACGATACGTGATTTGCATTAGTCGCTAAAATATAGAATTTCTCACGGCTTAATCCTCAGATTGAGAATTTAACATTTAAAGATACATTATGAGAGACTAGATAAAGAGCTGGAAGTTCTTACTATAATAGATACAAGCTACATAATGTTAAAGGGAATTTGCCGAAAATTTTAGTCAAATTGATCCACTCTGAACCGAGAATTTAGCAATTGAATTTACCCTTGATCAACATTACTAAAGTCGGTATGATAGAAAAAAACATAGTCCCGACTATCCATTTCATGATTAAATCACGAATGAAAGTTGATCAGCAAATCGGATCCAAATCCAGTAAATATCGCAGGCTAGCAATGACATCGAGAGTAGATTATGGTCTAATGTCTAATTAATAATTTAGATAACATTTCAGGCCTAAAGAAAGATCTGATATAGGCAGATTTAGCTCTTGCATAATGTATGTTTAATTAAGAAAACAAAATTAAAAAAACTCTGACGCTTAGATAATCGGATTTGAAACAGGCCTATCAATAAATTTTCGCGGACAATAAAATGGCGGCTGGCTGATTGCATAGATAGTAGCACAGGTCGATGATATTTCAATTCTATATAACTTTGTAAATACTTAACCGCACTAAATCATTTTTTTGGACTGAAACTCATAGTTCCCAATATTCTAGTTTGCGATTCACCATTATTGCTTAAAATGGCATCGGATTTCTTCGATATTAAATAGATTAGAAAGGTTCAGTCATGTTTTGATTTAATTTAAAAATGGAGGAGCGAGACATAGCTTCGAACAACCAGTAAGGTGATTGAAATTAATGCACATGTCTTGCCAAACCTTCAAATGCTAATATCTTCGCCCGCAACAGAGCAATAGAGTAATTTGAATGAAATTTTCAAATTATTCATTTTACATTATCTATTTTTAAACTATGATAGCAAGAAGGTCCAGCTCTTTATCTAAATCTTACATAATGCATCTTTAATATAATATGCAACTTCAGTCACAAGAAATTATTTTAGCTATAATTATTTTGTTATAAATGTTCACAAAACATAATAAAAATTAATGAAATATTTCCTGCTTCCATAAAATGTTCTTTAAATCATGACATTAATATAATAGGATATTTTCAGTGTCATACTTTTTTCTGCTTTACACGAACAATTTCATGAGCTGTGTTTGTTAGAGAGAGGCGGTGGCACAGTGGGGAAGACGCTGGCTCGCTAACCAGAACGTCCCGAGTCCGGTCTAGGTGTTGCTCGAGAGACTTCCCCTTGTCAGTGATGCAGGGCGGAAACCTGACAAGGAACAATGTCTGGTCGTTCGAATGGGACAAAAAAACCGAGGTCCCATGTACACATTCGCATGCACGTAAAAGAACCCTTGACAGTTGGAATTCGTAATAAGAGGAGTGCCGCTGCACGGGCAAAGTTTGCCCATCTTCATTAGTTAAGTCAGTGTAGATGAGTAGGACATTAAACCCCATTTTATTTCTGTGTTTGCTATATGCAATGTTTAATTTGTCCATGGAGACAGACTATATAACAACTACAGTAAACAGATTATAAAGTTAACCAGTAATTTAAGAAAAAAGAAACTATTAGAATTAGCCTGTTTACATCTTGTCTGTTGGAAGTTTGACAGAATGAAGGTCAAGGCGATCTTGTTGTTTCACTCATTAAAAGATTAGTTTCACAATTCTAAATCTGGTATACAGAGATTTGCTTAATTATTTAAGTCATAGATCAGTTTAAACATACGCTCGTATAATTTGTTTTGACGTTGTTTTTTTTTTTGTTTTTTTTTGGGGGGGGGGGGGGGGGTGTTGTTGTTTTTTTCATCAATACAAATAACTTTGGATACATCTAGATTGGAAACAATATATTAAATATCTGAAACATCCATTCGATTATCAGAAATTGTAAGATATACTACCGTAAGGTATTACAAATGTACATTCATAGCTTAAGGTCAATCTGGAAATATGTTTGTTAGTTATTTAATACAACAGAATCACATTTTCAATACGTTAAGAATATTAACGCTTTAAGATTGTGTGTGGTGCTGCTGGCGGTGTTGGTGGTGGGAGGGGGGGGGGGTACATTACAACTAACAATAGAATCCCATCTTCAATGCGTTAAGAAAATTAAGGCTTAACATATTGTGTGTGGTGTTGCTGGCGGTGTTGGTGGTAGGGGAAGGGGAAGGGGTACATTAAAACTAACAATAGAATCCCATCTACAATGTATTAAGAATATATAAGCTTTACATACCTTCCTTTTTACTGGGCTACATCAAGCATGAAATTAGAAAGAAAATTAAAATATTATACACTTTCTATTATACCACTTATAATATCAAAACATCCCGTTGAGAAAATTACAATATTTTAAGTTTAATACATATCAGGTGTTTGCAGTTAAAATTGGCAAAAATATCATTTTCAACTTCAAATTCAAACGTTTGAATATAGCTATTCCATGGGGGGGGGGGGGGTTAGAAAAACAAGGGAGGTACTTGTGTTATTATTTCCGGTGTGAATGATTTTTAAGTGTGTGAATGATACCTATGATCGTATAATAGTGAGTTGACAACCTATTGAGCAAAAGGCACAGAAATAATTGTTTTGACTTTCTTAGAAAATATGAAAATCTCGCTTTAAAGGACATAAGTGGGGTTGTGTTTACTACATGATGAAACACGAAGCTACATCTTTTACATTTTGAATGTGAAATTGAATGATTAAAAATTGGAATGAGTTTTTAGGTTATTATACTTCACAGCTATAACCAGAGACAGTTTTAAAGTTGTCGAGTTTATTATATCTTAGTAAACTGAGTGGAACAAAAATAAATCAGTTTTGTGGTAACTCGACCCCGTTATTATACGCTATGCAGTTGGAGAGAGAGAGAGAGAGAGAGAGAGAGAGAGAGGAATGGGGTTTAACGTCCACTCGACACAAACTAGGTCATTTCGGGACTAACATATGGTTTGATTTAATTTACATAATTCGCTTGCGCGTAGGGGTCTTTAGCAGTGGGAGGAAACCGGAGGACCCGGAGAAAACCCATGAGGTTGGACAGGCGAACCTACTCCTTGCCACGTACAACCGGGGATTCGAAACCACGCCAGTCGACTCAATGACAGACTTTATGATACAGCGCGCGCACGCTAACCATTCAGCCATCCAACCCCCCCCGCTATACAGTTGGAGAGGTATATTATTGTAATAAACTAAGCTGGGTTTCTAAAAAAGAAAGAAATCGGGTGTAACGTTCTACTTTTCTGCTCCACTGGGACTAATGAAGACGGCACACGCCATGTTGCATGGACAGCGGGGCTATACGGTATACTACTATTTCCAATTTCAACTGTCAAGGGTTATTTTACGTGCACACCAGCAACCTCGCTTTTCTTTCCATCCCTCCGTCCTATACCACTAACAAGAGGAAACAATGCCTCAAAATCCAGAGAAGAGAGAGGGAGAGAAATGGGGTTTAACGTCCACTCGATACAAACTAGGTTATTTCGGGACTAACATATGGTTCAATTCTATTTCAATAATTCGTTTGAGAGTAGGGGTCTTTAGCAGTGGCAGAAACCCGGAGGACCCGGAGAAAAATCCACAAGGCTGGACAGGCGATCCTACTCCTTGTCACGTATAACCGGCTAATCGCAACCACGCCAATGACATACCTTATGATGCAACGCACACACGCTAAACATTCGGTCATCCAACCCCCAAAATCCCTAGGAATCTTCTCATCCAACTTGTGGAAGGATCCCGGAACCTCCAGATTATGGAGCCCGGCAACTCCAGGTTATGGATCCCGGCAACTCCAGGTTATGGAGCCAGGAAACACCAGGTTATGGAGCCCGGAAACTCCAGGTTATGGAGCCCGGCAACTCCAGTTAGACACCACCCAACTCACTGAGCCATATATAGTTTCTGTATAGTATGCTACCTGATCATCGTCACTTCAAATACATACATGTACACGTACGTACGTGAACTTAATGTATAACATGAAAAAAGGTCAATGCGCTAAGGGGGCGTACCAAGGAAAGGTCAAGTGTTGGCGGGAGAAGGGGGGGGGCACATAAATATCTTAAAACTCACCTTTCGTTTGCTTTTAGCTTCAGTGGGGGAGAGTAAAACAACCACAACACATACCAATAACAGGAGTCTCATCATCGTGCTTCTATAACATAAAATACAAAAAAAATAAAAACGTCTGGTCGGTTATACGATATAATCAACTCTATACCAACACTTCAGCTCATACGTCATAATAAATAGCGTACATCTAAAAATATCACCAATATCTCAAATCACTATAAATAGAATATATTTCACCAATATTACCAATATCTAAAATCGCTATAAATAAGAATATATTTCACCAATATCTCAAATCACTACAAATAGAATATATTTTACCAATATCTAAGAAACTTATATTTTACAAAATATAAAGAGAAATCTACTGAAGCTTATATGGCATATGTTGACAAAATTTCATAAAAGCAATATCATAACACAAGCGTAGGCATTTAAAATGACTACATACAACATAGTGAATTGATAAAATTATTTCGGAAAAATTGTCCATTCATAGGCAATATCATCCCAGCAATCGCATAATACCTTCCTGATATCTCAATATCATAGGCATTATTGACCCCTGTACCCTTCCATACCCCACCCCAGCCACTAAAACAAATATAATTAAATCCCAACAGAAAAAGATTTCAACAGGAATAAAGAGGTAAAAGACTGAATTTCCTCGAACACACTGGTGGTTTCGATTCCCAGGTTGTACGTGACAAGAAGTGGGATCGCCTGTCCAACCTCGTGGGTTTTCTCAGAGTCCTCCGGTTTCCTCTTACTGTTAAATTATTGAAATCAATTCAAACCATGTGTTAGTCCCGAAATGACCTAGTTTGTGTTGAGCGGACATTAAAACGGTCTTAAAACCCATATCTCTCTCTCTCTCTCTCTCTCACACACACACATACTCTGAACATAACCGCAGTGGTTAAATCGTTTGTCATATTTTCAGTAATTAGCTGTTAGTTATATACCATGTTATGCTTTGTAAAAACGAACAGGCAGCATATTTCTCGCTTTAGTATCAAATTAATTATAGTTTGCCTCTAAATAAATTTTGGCAACTTGTCATCCACTGTTTTTCTGCTGCAGCATTTTTGTCGCATTTTCATCTTTTCTAACGTCGTGAGTCAGTCATCAGTAAGTGAAATTTAACCACAGTTGGTAAAAAGATAAAATAACTTCAGTTTTTGTTTTTCTCTCAATACGAAATTCCTGATATAATGGAAAAGATGAGAAAATATTCTTGATTTGGTGGTTTTAGATATTTTTGGCAGTGTTTATAATTAAGACTACTAAAACATTTAAAGGTATGATTTGCAGAAAACTTATTTGTCGCGCCAAACTCTTTCTTTTTCTGGCGTGTTTACATCTTGTCAGTGATGCAGGGCGGAGGGCTAGGCAAGGAAAGTGTCTAGTCGTTCGGATGGGACGAAAAACCGAGGTCCCGTATATACACTGGCGTGCACGTAAAAGAACCCTTGACAGTTCTAATTTGAAATAAGAGTAGGTCGTAGTGCGCTGTCCGGGCAGAATTTCCCCCTTATAGGACACTGTATGGCGTATTCCTGTCTTCACTAGCCCGGTTCGGAGTAGAACAGTCGGACGTTAAACCCAATTTCAATTATTCATTTGCAGAAAACTACTTTGCTGCGTGAAACACTTTCTTGTAGAATATATGTCCTTCTTCATTAAAGATACATTATGGGAGATTAGATAAAGAGTTGACAGTTCTCACTATTATAGTTTCAAAATAGATAACGTAAATAGAATATGCTGGAAATTTCAGTCAAATTGCTCCACTCTGAACCGAGATATTAGCAATAGGATTTTAGGCCTAGCCCGATCATCATTACTAAAATCGGTACGATAAAAAAATAGTCTCGATTATCCAATGTTACGTTTAATTATTTTTAAAAATGTATTCCAATCCGCTAAATATTGCAGGCTAGCGATGGAGTTGATTATGATCTTTTCCTGTTAATAAATGTCTAATTAATAATTTAGATAACATTTCAGGCCTGCAATAGGCAGATTTAGCTCTTACATAATGTTTAACCCAGTAGAACAGTAAAGGGGGAGAGAGAGAAATGGGGTTTAACGTCCACTCGACACAAACTAGGTCATTTCGGGACTAGCGACCTTACTCCTTGTCACGTACAACCGGGGATTCGAAACCACGCCAGTCGACTCAATGACAGACGTTATGATGCAGCGCGCGCACGCTTACCATTCAGTCATCCATCCAACCCCCCAGTAGAACAGTAAACTAACTCTATTCCATTCATTCATTAAAATATAAATGTGGAATAAATAATATTCCTAGGGGTGTATATTACTGTTATCCTAAATTAAAAGGAAGGTAGGCCCTGGGAGGTATCGGAGATCTCCCCTAGAAAAGTGTGAAACGCGATGCCATTTGGGTAAAAATAAAATCATGTTTGCTATCTTGAAAAAGGTCGCTATGACAGTGATAATCAACTATAAAAAGTCAACCAATTATTTGTCATCACTCGAAAGAGAACAAACCTGAATGGACAAGGCCAAACTCTTCATATGTGCTAGGAAGAATACAACATGTAAGGTAATGATATCAACTCAAAACCAAACTTGCCTCTGAATTGGTCTGATATTATATTATAACGTTCGTGTATCATTTGACTTATTATCTATGGCGGAACGATTTCCTTTCAACCACTGATCCAGTGCCTCAGTCGGGTGCCACATACAAATTATAATTGAGATGACATACCGAGCCCACACGGGCCTACCCTGTCGTGGGAGAAAACATAACTAAAAAGGCTTACCCGGGCCTACCCTCCAAAACACACTTGACTGTGCCATGGAAACCACGAGCGTGTTTGTAACAAACGAGGCCAAAATACCGGAATATATCGAAGAATACCGACTGAGAAAATGAGCGAACATCATTGTGGTATTATTCACAGATGACATTATCTGATGCGTCAATTTACCGTGGAAGATGAATCACGTGGTATTTAAGTGTGGTATAATTTATGAGATGGTGTATATTTGTTATATAATAATGATGAAACAAGTGTAATGTTTATATATCTATCAACAATAACCATGGTGTATATATATAACCTACACGCCCACACACACACATATATATATATTCATCACTTACACATTTACAGAACCTCTCAACACGTGATTAGGTTTGAAATTGCTTAAAGATGCCTTCGCGCGTACAAACTGTATGATTTGATGATATATTTGGACTAAAAACATATTCAAACTAGTTAATTATAATAATATAAGCTATTAAAATTTGCTTCAAATCCCTCTCATAACTTTGTATTCGGAGAAGATACCCAAGCTATAAAAAATCTATTTTCAGAAGCTATGTTTGTCACCTAACTTAATTTAGAGAGGGTCCATTTGTCATTTACCATACATATTGAGGCCTATGTAAATTCGTGAATTATTTTCTGCCAACTTCTGTTTCCGTCGTTTAATACCAGAGCCCTCAATGTTCCCCAAGAAATAACACCCTGGCAGACAATAAGCCGTCGGGTTGCCAGTTAGTGATACCCTGACATTTTTGCCTAGTGCTCGCCTCATGGGTGTTTTTCAGGTAATCCACTAAATGTCTAGTAAGATTGTGTTTTCCATATATACCAAATTTACCATACTTTTATTGGAAATAACCACTCGATAAATACATTTTAACGATTGATTTCGATTCCCACGGAACACGGACCATTTTTAAGCTAATAAACACATATTTGCAATCTAGTGACCTCGTCCCTTGTTCGGTCGGTCCCATCCCGGTTGGTCTCAAACGTAGGAAATCAAACCCACTACGCTTCATTTCATATAATTTGTGTCGTTCAGAACTTATCTGTACCCGGGAAAGATAGAAAATCTTCTAAGAATCTTTTTTGATATCAGAAAATATCAAGACAATTCGATAATGTAAAAAAGGGAGTAGAATGTTTTATTAATCGCCCAACCCTTTTCGTTGATAGCCCAATAACAATACATTCTACAGTACATTTCGCCTGTGTGATAACTTTCATATTCTACTGGTCAATTGGACAATTAAAAGGGCTGGAAAGGGTTCGGTGATGGATATAATCTTCGTTCTTTTTAGCATTATCGACTTGGGTTGATAATTTTTTTGGAGATTTTCTATATACATATGTATATCACACAGACCATTAAACATTGACTGATACAGTTCGACAAAACAGGCATTAAACACTGGCTTATACAGTTCGACAAAACAGGCATTTAATCTGACTAAGATTGAAACGACTGGGGAAACCCCGGCCTACATCAATGAATAATTCATTTATGTAATGACAATAAAGACTCAGGTGGTCTAATCGTATTTTAATTCCGTCAATCTGATAAAATCAAACTACTTAAATAGAGGTGACATTAAACAAATATCTCGATAGCGATATAATGGGCTGTATATTAAATAAAACACGTTTGTACTTGGATTGTTTGTCTCCCTACTCGAGAACTAAATAATCCACACATTGAGAGAAGTTTTCGTATACAACACGCCGGTCGCCGGGATTAACGGTTGTAAACTCTTCGGTATTTACAACCTGCCTCGAGCTATTCAACAACTTTATATACTTTGTATATATATATAGGTCACGTGTGTATATTATCGTGGAATAATAAACATATTTACCTGTAATTAACGGCGGTATAAGATCAAAGGCGCTTCACCTGTCAAACAGACAGTCCGCGCTTGTATAATTCCTGATATTCTAATCACTGCCAGACTTTCTGCAATGCTTATTGACTAAAGTTCTGGTGTTACTTTCAACTCCCGCGTTAAGATAACTGTATTTATTGTTAACGCAGGAGGGAAACAGAGCAGCACAAAGGGAAACAACTCCATTTTATAACCCTAGAAAGCCATATTATTGTTGGTTTCACACGCCAAATGAATCTTTAAAAACGTTTTAAACAGATCTTAAGTCAGATAAATAAATCGGAGCTCGACCGTGCTGACACTGATAGGTTCGATTTTATATTTTATTCTGACTTTGATGATCTCAGAGATAATATGCTATTCTTGTAACAATCTCTGATGATGTATTCTGTAAAGTTACCCTGTTAATGAGATATTTGGTGGAGCAGTATGGTAAGTAATGACAATAATCGACAAGTGACAGTATTACTGTAAGAGTGTCGCAGTGTCAACATATATTATAATTTCTAAAATATATTATAATTTCTAAAATATATTATAATTTCTAAAATATATTATAATTTCTAACATATATTATAATTTCTAACATATATTATAATTTCTAATATGTCCAATATTTATAAGATGACAACAACTAGAACGACATACTGTCAAAACATTCTAACGAAATGAAATGAAATGAAATGAGGTTTAACGTCCTACTGTTTTGCTCCTTAATGGGCTAATGGTGACGGGCATACGCCATGCAGTGTGATATGAGGGAAATTTTGCCCGGACAGCGGCACTACGGTCTACTCTTATATCGAATTCCAACTGCCAAGGGATCTTTTACGTGCACGCCCATGTGTACACGGGACCTCGGTTTTTCGTCTCATCCGAATGACTAGACAGCTGTCCTTGTCAGGTCCTCAATCAACATATAAAATATATTTGCCTGAACTAACTAAACGTTCACCGGCACTGCTGCTCTCTATACTAATATTATTAATATTTAAAGGGGGCTCAACAATCTCTATTCTTTGACACCTAGACATGGACACAAATAGGTTTCAACGCATACAATAATGTAATATGCATGTATATAAACTGATTTACATTCAATTGTTTCTGTTTTCACTCCAGTGGGGGAGTCCAGACCCCTGCCCCCCCCCCTCCTGGACATGCGCCTATTTAATTCCTTTATTTGAATCGGGAGCCACGGTGGCTCAGTAAGCAAGACGTTTACACACTATCCTGGAGGTTCTGTGTTCGATCACCATGATGACCTCCTGGTAGGTGATATTCTTTTTACTTTATCAATAAGGGGCTACTGTAAGGACACTGGCTTTTCAAATAGTCTTTTCCAGGTTCGTATCCTGACATGGAGGTTGGTCACGTGTCAAGGAGTAGGGTCACCTATCCAACCGTTGGTAATAGAGACTTTATGTATTATCGTAACAACGATAGCAATGATAATTGAGACTACACTGTTCTTCAAACGGTAATAGCTTCGATTACAATGAAGTAATTTAACTGAAATTTTCAACATAATATTCTCTTTTCATTATCTGGTTTTAACTATTATAGCGAGAACTGTCAGCTCTTTATGTAAATCTACATAAAGTATCTTTGACACCTTTACGCGTTTCGTCTGTTAATTTATCCCCTTTAACTAAGTTTGGTTGGAAAATCTCTTGGATCCGCAAGGGTTTCTTTTAAAGCCAGTGTCTGTATTTATTCAAAGCGTTAGACTTAAACCCGATTAACTCACTTTCCTATTTGTAAAGCATTAAACAACAAATCCTTCCAATATAATAATTGTTATTGTCTATGTCTATGCAACTACTTCACCTCTGTTTATTAAAAGTGTTAGACTTAAACCCTATTAACTCACTTTCAATATTTGTAAAGCTGTAGGCAACAAAACATTCAAATCTGCCAAATGTTAGTATTCATGATGTTTCGATTCCCCGCTGGGATGTGACAAGAAGTAGGCGGCTCTGTTGTTTTTTCCGGATCCTCGCGTTTCCCCGCACTCGAAACATATTTTTTTTAAATACAATTGAACTATGTTTCAGTCCCGAAATGACAAGGTGTGGGATCGCCTGACTAACCTCGTGGGTTTTCTCCCGATATAACCTGATTAGTGAATAAGTTGGTCATTTTATAAAGTGTGTTAAAATATACGAGGAATAGCTGCTGGACAATGTTTAACATGAGAGAAACATGTCGATCAATCTAATATTATTGATATTGACGTATTTAATCTACTAACCTAATAAATCAATCATAAACTGCTCGACTTGACAGACACATGTATTTTTATTTTTATTGGTCGCCATGTGGATTAACCACCGTACCGGGTAATGATTCATCACATCAGAGAGAGAGAGAGAGAGAGGGGGGGGGGGTAATGTCCACTCGACACCCAAACCCCTTTTAAAAATGTGAACCGAAATATTTATATTTGACAAGTAACGGATGTCTTTCAGGATTAAAGAAAGTAGTGGTCATTAGTCATCAGCATAAGAAAGAGGTATTAAAATGGAGAGAGAGAGAGAGAGAGAGAGAGAGAGAGAGAGCTAGTTTCCAGACCAATATATTGTGGTTCAATCTTATTTCAAGAATTCACTGGCGCGTAGGGTCTTTAGCAATGGAAATGAGATGCAATGGGGTTTAACGAGTCTGCTCCTACTGGGCTAATAGAGACGGGACGGGCATACGGCATACAGTGTGCTATGAGGGAAATTTATATACGGGCAGCGGCGCCTACTCTTTTATCGAATTCCAACTGCGAAGAGATCTTTTACGTGCACGCCAATGAATACACGGGACCTCGGTTTTTTGTCCCATCCGAATGCCTAGACAGCTGTCCTTGTCAGGTCCTCCGTCCTGCACCACTGACAAGGGGAAACCACGTCGGAAAATCCCGATGAACCTTTAGCAATGGGAGGAAACCAGAGATTAGACAGGCGACTCTACGCTTTGCCACGTAGAAACCACGCCACCTGCTTGACTCAATGACAGACCTTAATATCTAAAGCACAAGCTTTATACTACTCCCCACATCCCAGGATATTGCCAGGCCCTCCGTCCTACACCACTGACAAGTGGGAACCACGCGTGAAACTTCCGATGAACTTTGGTTGCCAACGCAGGGCTCGAACAATGGAACGTAAGGTAAGCGAGCCAACGTCTTATCCACCGAGCCCCCGCGGTTCTCGCTGGCGTCAGTGGCGCAGAACGGAAAAATTTACAAGGAATAGCATCTAGTTGTCATAGGAACACTGACCACAAGGGTTCGATGGCGACTGGGCGGAATTTCACTTGTTTTAAAATAGAGTCGTGTTATTTTCGTTTTTTATTTCAACCGTCGACAGTTGAACACAGAATCAGGTATATCACATAATTGACACTGTTTACTGATGTAAACTAGTATGTTATTTCCACGACTACGACGAATAAACTCCTTACTAAAACATATATTATGCAAGAGCTAAATCTGTCTATTGCAGGTCTTTCTTTAGGCCTGAAATGTTATACATATATAAACTATTAATTAGACATTTATTAACAAAACAAGACCATAATCAACTCTCGATTACATCTGATACTCGAGAGTTTAACTAGATTAGAATGGTTCGCAATTTAAAAATCTAATTTAAAAATGGGAAAGCGAGGCTATGTCGCGAATATACCAGTGCCCTGGTTACCACTATGCACACATCTTGTCAAAACTACAAACAGTGATAACTTGGCTCAGAATGAAGTAATTTGAATAAAATTTTCGATAACTTCTATTTTTATCATCTATTTTTGAATTATTATAGCAAGAATGACCAACTCTTTATTAAACTCTTATCTAATGTATTTTTACTAAAGTAGTAGACGGGGGGGGGGGGTGGAAGAATCCTTGGAGGCAGTGCATGTCAGCACGGATCTCACTGATACCGTGGGGGCGAAAAGGAGGCGCCGAAGTTGAAAAAGGGTTGTGCGGCGGAAACGCGCCCTAGTATTAAAACCTCTACTTCTCCACTACAGTCTTGTCTAGTATGTTGTTGTGGGGTGGGGTGGGGTGGGTGTGGGGGTATTTTAGGATTATTATATTATTTAAAGATACATTATGGAATATTAGAGCTGGCAGTTCTCGCAAGCTAATAGCTAAAAACTAGATAATGTAAACGGAATGTGCTGATCGCGGATCGAAAATTTCAGTCAAATTGCTTTACTCTTAGCCGGGAAAACCTTATTTTAAAATCACTGTAGCCTCGATTGTCATTGTTACCGCTGTCACGATGATTAACAAAGTCTCGATTATCCAGTTATGTGGTTGATTAAAATCATTAACGGGCGTTAAACAGTAGATCGGATTCACATCCAATGAAAATCGGACACATAAGATGGCATCGAGCGTTGATTAAAGTCTTGTCATGTTAATAAAAGTCTAATTAATAGTTTATATAACATTTCAGACCTAAAGAAAGACGCGCAATAGGCAGATGTACCTCTCGCATAATGTATATTTAATACTCATCGATATAACAAATCAACAAGTTAATAAAATCGCTACTTTCAATTTCTGTTTCATGCTGGCTTTACACCACTGACATTATCAGAAGGCGCGAGGGGTCAATAACCTATGTAACAAGCGCCTCGGTCAGTACTAATGGCGGGTCTCTCATATCGATAATCAATCGGACTTGACAGTGTTCAAATTCAAACATGGCTGTCAACATATCAAAGGAAGGTGTTTTGTTGCTTCGGTTTTATTACATTTTTATTTATTTATTTATTTTTTATCTTTGACAATCGACATGACCACAATCGATGGGTTTTATCTGCACGTATTTAGGCTGAATTGCTGCGGGCAAACAGACAAATGTTATGGTCACACCCCGCGACTCGTGACGTTTAGTATGATAGACGAGCCATGTTTTTTATTATTATTATTATTATTTTGGTCAGTAAAACTAGTAAACACCCGAAAATTTACAAATGTTATAGTTGACTTACAGGTTGTTAATCAGTAGCGACATTGGTGTAATATTGGTCGGACATTCAATATCCTTTCATGTATCTACGTCATTTTAACTACTAGTCTAGGTTAACCGGGGATTAAACACCTATATAAGCCAGTAAAAATATAAATCAA